TATCTTATTACGCAGTAAAAAAAAAGCGATTCAAATTCAGCGTATGGGTTATTTCTAAATTCTGTATGAAAACACCAGTTCGCAAATTTGGTGCACTGCAATCAAAAAAAAAGCGCAGGGTAATTAGCGGAAATCGGAAATTGAAAAAATCATGTTCATTAAATTGCACGTAGTCGGGACCACGATTTGGTTTTTTTGATCGGATAATTATCTGATAAAATGCGGCATTTTTTGTACGTTTACGTTGGTTGCGTTGTGCTCGTTTATTTAGACTTTAGCTATTGAAGGTAAAATATTGTTGCATAAATTTCTGACCATCGAAACGTTTAAAACAGAGAAGCTAAAGATATTAATAGCTACCTTTCATCGTTGCCATCACCCATTAAAGCTCAATGCACTAGTTGCATATGACTCCTCATGTATGCTTGATTTCTATTGTCGCACCCAAACCACACCCCATTGTTAAGTACGCTCTAAATCATATCATAATGCTCTGCGCTTGTTAACGTAAAATATTGGCTTCAATATTCAGTACATCGGCAGCACTTGACTTTCTTTTTTCACTTTCTTCATGTTACTTGCTGGTCAAGATGCAATAAAAATGCAAAATAAGATTTACTTTCCGCCGTAATACTTTTATATGCTTTCATAAGCTTTACACTGCATTAAATATATTATATTTTTATATAATCAGTGTTTGAATAATTGTCTACCTCAGCTGTACAGTTGTTGGTAATGGGCATTATCGGGATCTGTATTATTACTGAATTTTGTAGAGTACAATGTGCCATATTCACTACGTAAACTCGTATCTTTATATTCATACAATCCTACCGTCCAAAACGTAATCAATTTTGTTTTTTTATGGATTCGTCAAAGTGTGGTTAGTTTAAGTCAAACTTGGTCTTAAAAAAATCAATATTTTCCTGACCAACTTATTCTGGATTTTGGTTTTTTTTTAAAAAGGTTCTGGTCAGAAAATTGTAGGAGTTGGTTTTAAGTATGGCGAAACGCAAGTGCAGTACCAAGAATACTTACTATTGTGAAGCACAGTATGTAAAAAGTACATACGGTACTGTAACCGTGGATATGGATCTGTAAGTACACTTTTGTCAGTACAGCAGTTAGGGTAATGTGGATTTTTACGTAGTTCAAATTCTAAACAGCCGGCAACTGCCGGAACGGTCTATAAATTCAAACCTGAACTTTCCAATACAAACGTGCCGAGCATGAAAGCGCGAGGCTTATCTTGTACTAACAATCATTATGCTTATGATACTCGTACAGATTGTGCAATTTGCAAATGATACTCGTAACAATAATAAGTCTAGGAGATGTTAGTTCTTAGTGTGAGGGTCTAGTAATGGTGTAATTCTTATGTGAGTAGGTGAATGTTATGCTTGCATGTGAGGTACTTTGTAGAAGAACTTGTCAGCGGAACAGCCTACGACAACGGGAAAGCCGGCTAACAAGATTCTGCATAGTCTGCGGTTTAAACGTTTCATTCAGCAGCGCCCTAGCCGGAAGAAGCTGCACAGCTGTTTTGTCGCACAAGCGCACAGCCAACTAGCGTGGCCAGACGGAAGGAGTATCTACCGGCGGTGCCAGCGGAAGTAGTGCTGCTGCGGTGTCCACGTCTAGTGCGAGTTGCAGCACTAAAGAGACGTGAGCCAGTGCAAGTAACAGCACGCGCGGGATATTGAGTGCCGTGATTGGTTCGAGTAAGAGCGCTGATAAAACTTGACTTGTGCGAGTGCTGGTGCAGGTGCGGTATCCTTTAAAATTGTGTGAGTGGTGACGTTGGAGCATGCAATGCAGGTGACAGCATTGCGAGTGCTTGTGCGAGTGTTGGCATAAGCGAGCGCGTATTCAGTGCAAGTGTTAGCACTGAGAATGTCCATGCGAGTTGTGGTATGGGCGAGGTGAAGTCCTGTGCGAGTCAGTGCACAGTAGCGTGTGTGTCCGGCGTGAGTGATGGCGCGGACGAGAGGAGACCCTGTGCGAGTCAGTGTACAGCGGTAGATGTGTCCGGCGTGAGTCATGGCGCGGGCAAGTTGGTTAATGGTGACAGTTGTGACACTGGAAAGTCGATATCCAGTGTGAGCGGTGGTTTTGCGGAGATGATGCCGGTCAGTACAAGTGCCAACACTAGCGAGTGCAATGTTAGTGTGAGTGGCAGTACTGGCGAGGATGGCATCGGAGTGAACGGCGCAAGTGGTCAGTGTGGTGTCAATGTGATGGTGACATTGGCGAGTGTGGTGCCAATGTGAGTGGTGACATTGGCGAGTGCGGTGTCAATGCGAGTGGTGCTATTGGCAGCAGAGTGGTCAGTGCGAGTACTGGCATTGGCGAGTGTGTGTGCGTGGGGAATACAGATACAGAGAACATCAACAAACATGACGATATGTTGCGGACGTGTCAGGAGTTGTTAACCGGATACGTAGACCGGATGGGAGACTCATTACCATTTCCGGCGGAGTTTACATGGATGGCGGATGAGTTGGCCCGGATTCGCGTGCAGTTAAGAGCATTAGTCCCACATGGAGCGCGGTTTACCTTGGAGTCACCAACCGACATCTGCTACGGACGCCACGTAGTGTACGATTGGGATAAGTTCATCTATGGACAGTTTCTTTACTACCGTAGAGAAGACGGCGCGATGCGTTATGAGAGCGAATACGGCTGTGTGTACAAAGAGTGTGGCGCCCAGAAGGAGCTAGCGTTAGTGGGAGAACATCCACGATTTTTTAATCCGTTTAAATGGTTTGTGGAAGAGGAAATTCGCGATACGTACGGACCGCGCTTGTATCACAATACACTCCCGGAGATACGCCTTCAACACATCATGCGGGAAGTAACGGAGCGGAGAACGCAAGTTGCAGCGGATGCGGCGCCAGACTATAGTGGCATAATGGAAACGCTAGACTTTGCGGATCTGCTAGTGCGAGGAGCGAGCGCGCCGGAAGTTGTGAGCGAACTAGACGATGATGCCGGTTATCACCAAACGCCGGCTGAGTTAAGTGCGAATGCGGTAACAATGCAGCCTGCACTGGTAGAGGAGATGGACACAGATTCGGTGGATGCCGTACCGGAAGGGGGCAAGTGCCATCCGAGTTAAGGGATGGTGGTCACCTTCTGGGACGATCGGACTCGAGTGTCTGGACGGATTGCGGAGCGCAAGTGAGTGTTAAAGCGACCCATGACGAGGACGTCATGATCCATAGGAGAGGCGTGTTGCGCGAGTATATAGCGCAAGCGTGTTCTGTGGGTCAGGAGCAGCATGCATCATGAATCACGTGCATATTCATAGCCATAACGGGCGTGCTTACATTGTATACATTTATGGATGCGGTTGGATGCACAATAGCTTGTTGTGGTAAGCAAGCCAGAGGTTGTGGCTTGAACGATAACGGGCAAATGACTGAGCGTGAAGAAAGGAATGAATCATTGTGTAAACCAATAGTGTGTCTTTGTTGTCTGCAATGTTTTATCTCTCGTAACATGTATTAAGTGCCTGGCTAAAAAAGTAGTGTGCGATGAAGTTGTCAAATGATTTAGTACATCTCCATCCAGCCTCGGAACAACTTCTCTTGGAATATCTGCCTTATCTTTGCATGCCATTTTGTTAGCATTCGAGTTGTTGTCTGCTAATCTGCATTAAAGGTCATCGGGTCGGATCAGCCGCTGTTGTTTATCGTTGTTGTACTGGTAGTAGAAAGGTTACATCCACCGAGTCTCAGCTAACCTTTAGTTACGCGACAATTGGAAGATGGGATGGGATCAAGAAAAACGATTATTAAATAAATTTTTAAAATTTTCATGATTTTTTTAGCTAAAAACTCACGGAAATTCATCTTTTCAGTCGAAAAAATAAAAAATTTCCGCGCTCCGCGCAGATTTTAAGCTGTTTGCCGTTTAATATTCTAAATTCGCCTGGAATTTCTGCGCTACGGGTTGATTTTTACGCGTTAATTTTTTCCCTTTGCTTATTTTCAACAATTTACAGTACTGAAAATTTTTAAAAAAATGGGCTGAAAATCGGGCCTCAAAGCTGGATAGGGCTGGTGAACAAAGGTGGTTGGAGATGGGCTGGGATGGGAGTTGCGCACGACAGAGGGGGATGAAATGGGGATGGGAAAAGTCGAAGATGGGCAAAGTCTGGGACTCTACACGATGACGAACACGCGGTCGGATAACAGCAGTGAGTTTCGTCGCGTTGGTCGTTCGTTGTTATGTTTTGGTGTTGATATGGAAGGTGAGATTTTGCGCTGTTTTAATGTTGACAACTAACAAATATCTGTGCCGATTCTTATGTAAGTTGGGCATATATTTTTTTCGTTCGTAGTTCAGTCGTGACCGCTCTTGTGCAGTGTCGGATTAGTCGTACTTGTTGACCTTCGTTGCCTTGAGTGTGTTTTCTGTTGAGTCGGCAAAAAATAAGCGACTTGATAATAACGCTGCTGGACTTTGTTCAAGTTGTTTTTGGTGCTGTTTGCACCAAAATATACTTTCATCAGGCAGCTGGGCATTAAATAGTGATTCTAAATCGTGTCTATATTAATTATATTATTTACCGGCGTCCAGGAGGTCGGCGATGAGTGCCATGAAGGCGAGGCATTCAACCAAATGGCGGCTTCGGCTAGTTGTATCGGATATATACGTACTTGGGTTCGGCTGCGTGTACTTAACTTGTAGAAGGATAGTGTCCGTTCTTCAGGTCGCTGTGCATTTACTGTGGCGGCCGTTTAGTGTATCTGTATAGTCTGCGGAGCTCCCGCGCCAAACGGGTAAATGTAGCTTTCTATTCGTACTGGTCCTTCTATCAGGAGAAATGCATGTATGCATGAGCATCTGGTAGAACATTGCGTATGTACATTGCGCTTGAAAGATACGTATTAATTTTGCAATCAAGCACCGTTGTGCTTTGAGCGCTAATCATGCCTAGCGATCAGTTACCACAAATTACCGGGACCGCTCGTCATCAAAGGTCAAGGCACTGTGTATGTTCAGATATATCTATGCATGTTTAAAGGAGCGGCAGTAGCGAGTATCGGCTATAGCGGGTACATGTAAGATGCGGATAATTTCCGGCCGGCACACGTGCTACGCTTTGCGCCTCGCTGCACACAGGCATGCTTCGATAGTCGCTATTGCTGGATCCCGCGCTGCTACTGGATGCACGGCATTGGTACGGGGCGTGCTATCCCTTTTGAGCGTACATCCACATCCGGCGATCTGCGATTGTGCATCGTGCGCGGGGGATATACCTATGTACAAACAACGGACTGACAGTGGTACCGTCGTCAATATCCGAGTTACCGAGGTGTTCTTATCGGCCGACCGTTTCGACCAACTGGATTCCCAAATCTTGGGAAATTATATTGTGATGTGCCGGCCATATGGGCGTCACATATCTGCATTACTCGGAATTATTTGCTGAATTCTGTGACTTTGTGATGAACATAATACCTGTACTACTGTATGGCCATGAGCAGCTTACATACGTATATGTTGTTCTCCATCCTCCATCCACCGTTAACAATTTGCGAGGAATATATTTATTGTATATGCAGTGTCTTTCCAGCTGATCGGACAGCCTACCCGTAGGCTGCGAGATCTGTAGTCTAGCGGTGAAGGATGCGCCCAGTGCCAGTGTGGCCGGCGCTGACCCGACTGCTGTTGACCTGTATGTGTACCCTGCGCGGGACGCAGGGCCAGCCGCGGCGCGTGGTCTTCCTGTCGGTGCACGCGTGGACATCGCTGCCGTACAGCGTCGACTACGTCGGCGCCCCCATCGCCCTCGCCGTGGAGGAGCTCAACCGAGCGGCCGAGCTCCACAACCAGACGGACCGCTTCTCCGTCATCAGCTGGAACAAGACCGCGCTGCGCACCTGCACCGACGTCCAAGTGGAGGCGGTGCCCTACGCCGCCGACGTGTACCTGCGCGGCAGCTGGCGACGTTCGCCCGACGACGTCTTCGTCATCCTGGCACCTTGTATGTACCCATTAATCGCCACTGCGTGTAGTTATTGAAGGGAGCGTATATTTATTGCAGCGTGCAGTGAAGCGGTGGCGTATCTGGGCGATCTCGCACGAGGTCAGTTCAATGCTCACGAAAATCTGCTCGAGTTTTTTTTCTCAATAATTAATCAGCTGCTGATATAATCCGTATTACGCTTCAATGCTTTTGCAGTACATGTATTTTAATTATGGTTGGTTGGCTAGGTGAATAGATGTATATACTGTAAACTCGGTTTGTGTTTTCGCAGAGTGGAATGTGCCGGTGATTAGCTCGTAAGTGGCCGGTTGATTAAGCGCAATTCCCCGGTGCCGGCATATATCGCCGTAGCGTGCAGTATACTCCAGTGTTGGCGGTGGATTTGATTACATGTGCTCATTAGCGGCGGCACGGACACGGTGCTGGACGACAAGCGGCGCTTCCCGACGCTGCTGCGGCTCAGTCCCTACCAGCAGCAGATGCTGGCCGAGGTCATCGTGGCGCTGCTGCGCTTCTTCCGCTGGACCGACGTGGCCCTCCTCTGCGACGAGGGCGCCACCGAGCTAAACACCTTCTCCCTCATCTGCAAAGTGCTGCCGGTGTACTTCAAGAAGACGCCCGGCATCGCGCCCGTCTTCCTCAAGTACAACTTCAAAACCAACCCCGACCACCGCCGCTTCCTCACCGAAGCGGCGCGGTCGGCCCGCGGTGAGTGACCTTTGTGTTTTTCAATTTCAGTGGCAGCACTGATAAAGGTCACGGCTAATTAATCGGCCGTTGTAAGGTTTCGTAGTAGTGATAGTGATGCCGTAATTAAATTCATCAGAATCAGCGTCAGTGATCATAAGGTTTCTGTTTTTCAGTGAAGCACTTTAAATTAAAGTCAGTCGTGTACTGCGTAAACTATACTGTTATCGGCAGATGAGCCTAATCATTTAGTTGCCAGCATAATTCGGTTGAGTTACAATACTAGTCAATATTGATGGAAAAGATGTTCCTGCCGGTTGAGCAAATTATGCCGCCGGCACGCAGCAGCGCTGTTTGCTCAGCAAACAACACATGCCGCATTAATATGAATATTTGATGTTTGCCTGTTCTGCGTAGTCCAATCGATATCCGCTTACCTGTCACTTGTTTTCTATTACGCCCGTTAATTGCCTCGCATAAAATGAATGGTGTCTTCTCTTTCGCAGTGTTCATTGTCAGCACGCACGGTTCCCGTCTGCGCCAGCTACTGGTAAGTTAAGTGATGCGCGGAAATGATAATTATCGGTAAAACCCGCGTGAATCATCCCGGCTCAAAACGACGTCATATACAGATTGTGGCGGAGCGACTGGGCATGGCCAACGGGGACTTCGTAAGTGGCCATTTGATTTCGCTGCCGCCTGGGCAGCCGCCGTGGCCGTCGCTGTGCATAGTCCGTGTTGTCATTCTGCAGGCCTTCATTGGACTGGCGCCGTTCGTGTCTCCGTTCGTGGGCAAGATGTCGTGGCAGTACGGCGACGCCGATGACGCCGTGAGTGATCTCGTCTGCTGTCTAATCTCTAAAGGTCACGAGTGTCGGGTTCTTTGGCCAGGCCGCCTACCGCATCTACCGCTACCTCCTCCTCATCGCCTCCGTCCCCAGCCGGCAGACCGCCGCTCTGACGCTGTACCAGCGCATCAAGGAGCGCAGCTGGACGGACTACGGACTGCGCTATGAACCGGACGAAGAGGTCAGTCACGTTTTCATATATGCACTTGCCGGTGCTCCCAACAATTTTTGTTGCACGCTCCAGGTGACGCTGTTTGCCAGCGGATACTATCTGGCCGTGCAGGTCGTGGCCCAGGTGACGCGCCATTGATCAGTAGTATCGATCATCCCGGGAAGATTTACGGGAAGATGGTGTAATCGTTAATTGCAGGTGCTGGCAGCCTTCTTTCCCGGCACGACCGCCGATCGAACCGGGCCAGTCAGCGGAATCGACCTGGCCCGCTCCACCTACAACCGCACGTTCGCCACGCAGATGGGCGCGCTGCACATCAACGCCCGCGGTGACCTCGACAACGATTACGGCGTCAAGGCGCTGCTGGCAGGCAGCGATCAGTTCCAGGTAAACAACGTGTTCGACAATCTTCGACCGTGTCAGCGTGACGCCACGATTGACCGACCAATCGCTATCGATGTATGTGCAGGTGGCCTTCCGCTGGATGCGGGAGACCGGCGATCTCGTCCCGGTCGACAACGCCCGCTGGCCGCTCAATACGACGCCGCCGGTTAATCGGCCGTGGTGCGGATTCACTGGCCAGGATCCGCGCTGCCGTAATGGTACGTTAATCGAATTCCGATGCGCTGCATGACGCCGATCCGATACTTTTACAGAGACGAACATCCTGACGTTGGCCGGGATAGGCGTGGCGGCCAGTGTCGGCTGCCTAACCGTCATCCTTGTCGCCGGATGTGCCTGGATTCGGTTCGTGCTTAACATAATTAACCTGCAATGCGAACAGCTTAATCCGGTTAATGATCACGTTACGTTGGATGACCTTTAACTGGCTTAAAGGTATCAGCAGTCCAACAGCGTCGACTGGCTGGTGTCGCCGGCGGAAGTGCAGCATTCTTCCAGAACCACCAAGACCCTGTCCGTGCTGACCAAGTCGCAGGTCAGGTGGTGATAATGAAATAAGTGAACACAGGGAATTCAACCGTGTGTCGGTGTAGATGCTGCGGGCGCCGATGGTGGCGCACATGGACGGTGGCCGTACGCGGGTGGCCACGTACCGCGGTCATGCTGTATGGTGCCGGGTAGTGGGCACGTTGAACAAGGCTACCAAGCTGCCTCGGGACTTTATCCGCGACACCAACGTGGTACGTACGTCTTAATCGTTTAATTTGATTTATTTTATTTTTATTTATTTTATTTTAATTTAATTTGATGTGACCTTTTTCAGCGTAGGAGATTGAAGCAGTCTAGCCTGGCGGAGTTCATGGGAGCCGTGGTGGAAGGCAGCTATCTGCTGACACTGACCGAATATTTCGCCAAAGGATCCCTCGACGACGTCATCGAGCTGAAGCCGGCGTGGATGGACGCGCAGCTGAAGAACGTCTTCCTCACCGACATCGTCAACGTAAGCGCATACATTTTCCAGTTGAAACGAGACGCCTATAGTGCGGTCTGCACTCTGCACAGGGCCTGTCGGTGATCCACGCGGCCGCGGACCTGCGCAGTCACGGCGCCCTGAAGAGCCCCAACTGCATGGTGACTGGCCACTTGTCCATCAAACTGGCCGACTTCGGCTACCCCGCCCAGCAGCTCTCCCGCCTCCGGGAGGCGCTGGCCAAGGAGCAGTACAACGGCCTCCTTTGGACGGCGCCGGAAGTCCTCCGTGCCCCGCGGACACTGTCGCCGGAAGCTGACATCTACTCACTGGGGATCGTCTTCCAAGAGGTCCTCCTCATGGCCCGCCCCTTCGCTTCCGACCTGTCGGACGCGGAGATCGTCCTGGCGGTGAAGAAGCCCTCGGAGCCGCCGTACCGCCCGGCGCTGGAGACGTCGGCGGTGGCGGCGGAGATGGCGCAGCTGATGGAGCGCTGTTGGGCGGAGAACTGCCGCGACCGACCCCGCATCGGGCAGGTTAAACAGGTCCTGGCGCGCATCAGCGGCCTGAAGCCGGGCGGTCACTTCATGGAGATGGTGATGCGGAAGCTGCGGGAGTACGCGGAGGAGCTGGAAGAGCAGGTGGCGGAAAGGACGCAGGGGTTGCTGGCGGAGAAGAAGCGGTCGGAGGATCTCCTGCGCAACATGCTGCCGGGGTGGGTGCGTCGAAGGGGTGTGCGGGGGAGGGGAGTAATCGAATGACCTTTGCAGGAGTATCGTAGAGGCGCTGGTGCGCGGCGTGAGCGTGGAGGCGGAGGTGTTCGCCAGCTGCACCGTGGCCTTCAGCGGCGTCGTCCACTTCGGGGCGTTGGTGTGCGGGATGACGCCGTGGGACTGCGTGGCGCTGCTGAACGAGTTCTTCTCGGCCTTCGACCAGCTGATCGGCGAGTACGACGCCTACAAAGTGGAGACCATCGGCGACACCTACATGGTCAGTGCGGCGGGATGACACCCCCTTAAAGGTCACCGCCTGTTCATAATGTTAGTGTGCTCCATTAGCTAGCCAGCGGCGTGCCGGTTCGCAACGGCAACCTGCACGCGGAGCAGCTGGGCCTGCTGTGCTGCGGCGCGCTGGCACTGGTGGAGCGCTGCAGTTTCGCCGGGCGGAAGCTGCAGCTGCAGATGGGCCTGCACTCCGGTACGAGCTTGACTGCTTCCGACGTGGTGTGCTGCTGCTAGAACGAATTAATTAATGGATAGGTCCCCTGGCTGCCGGACTGGTGGGGCTGCGCATGATGCGCTATTGCCTGTAAGTCGTTATTTGAATGACCTTTATTACTGTCGTCATAAACGTCTGGCTGACTGACCGGCATCCTTGCAGGTTCGGCGACACGGTCAACATGGCGTCGCGGATGACCAGCACGTCGCTGCGTAAGTGCACTCTCCTGCCGTTCGTTCGTAATGTGGGTGGATCCGTGCGATTTCTTAGCGCAACGCCTGCAGGCTAGCGAATCGTCTAAACTCATTCTCGACACTTCGCAAGTGCTGCGCTGCCAGTCCCGCGGCACGGTGCAAGTCAAGGTACGCACAATAATAAAATATATTTTTGCACATGTGCTGGTATGTTACGGTGTATATAAATTTTTGTTCAGGGAAAGGGCTTGATCGAAACCTTCTGGATTAGTCGCGGCGATGGCTCATGATTGCCGGCTGTTTGCGGATTGGCAACCCAGTGTTGACTACGAGCGGCGTATAAAAGATGCGCGCCAAACAACCGCGCGCCCTCAGGCTCGGACGCATACACGCGGCAGCGGAATTTGCCGGCGTTGGCCGTGTGTGTTTCCCCTACACTAAACCAGCCGCCGCGGGCCATCGCACTACGCCTGCGTTTTGCCGTCCAAACACACACTTCTGTGTTTTTGCTCACTTTACCGGGTGATTTCCGTTAACACTGTGAACATGTTACGCAGCGCAGATTCTGGGGGAAAAGTCTACAAAAGCTACAATTTATTTTTCCGTAAACGGTGTCTTTTATTTCCCATTACTGTGTTCATTTAATTACTGTGTTCATCTGCCATTAATTAGTTAATTGAATTGTTTGCCGTCGGTACGTTAATTTTATTTATTTGTCCGTTAAATCGTTAAGCGTATTTATCGGCCATTGGTTATCGTTAATTGATTTGACATTTGTTGATTGGGCTTTTTTGCCATTAACTTGCTATTCGGTTCGTCTGTCATTTATTAGTACGATTTTTATACTGCGTAAGGAATTATTCTGCGGGCCAGTAGCACCGGCAACGACGCCAGCATGCCTACCAGCGTCGTAACGGAGAAGCTGTCCGTCTCCTCCACCGTGTCGACCAACGGCAGCGACAGCCCGCGATTGGGCCAGCGTCCGGCACCCGGGGCCCCTTCGCCCCGCCCCCTGGACGGCGCCCGCCACGTGGAGCACCTGGCGCGCATCGAGAGCATCCTGCAGCTGGACATGGGCCTCTCGCGGGACGACGCGCAGGCTTTTATCCGCGCCGGCAACGAGCGCGTCTTCGGCAGCCACGACATCGACCTGGGCGGTGGCTCCTTTAACGGCGGCGCCGCCTTCGTCAAACTGCCGTCCGACGGGGTCGGCGTCTGGATGAACGAGCTGCGGTAAGTCCGGTACAGGGAGAAATTGACCGGAAGTGACCTTTGGTGTTGATCGCAGGGAGGACTACGACGAGAAGACGTACACGCCCAACATCACCAAGTCGGTGCTGGTCAACTTCGAGGGCTCCCGCATCCGCGTGCGCCGCCCGCAGCGCCGCGTCGTCCCGCTGGCGGAGGTGCACGACGAGAAGGAGGAGATCCCGGCGGACTTTATCTGGGCGGAGGAGCGTCTGTACGACGCCCGCAACGCCGACGTCTTTCTGCTGCCGCTGGAGGTCCCCGTCAAGATCCGCTGGCTGAACCGCTTCCCCATCGCCGTCAAGCTGAAGCCGCTGCAGCAGCCGCAGGCGGGCGGCGCCCTCATCGTGGAGAGCCGACCGGAAGTGGACGCCAAGTTCGTGGCTAAGGACGGCAACACGCTCTTCTTCTTCGCGCGCTGCGACCGCGCCAAGGAGGAGATCTTCTGGCACTTCGTGTCGGCCAGCGGCCAGGTGCCCTTCCCCTTCAAGGTGCCGCGCGTGACGCCCACTCCCGACATGTCGCCCCTCAACGCGCTGGTGAGTATACAGTGCTGCCGGTTAAGTGACCTTTAAAAGGAGTATCCGAAAAGTGACCTTTCCTCGGTGTTTCGGTTAAGTGACTTAAAGCGGAGTGTTACCTTTGAACAGTGATTTACATATTGTGACCTTTGAGTGTTGTGTGCGAAGAGCGGTGACCTTTGACCGGTATTGCTCTTTGTGCCCACAGCTGACGCGGATCGGCGGCGACGTGCTGGTGGACCCGGTGTGGAAGCAGCTGATCTTCGAGAAGGTGGCGCAGAAGATCAGCCAGATCAAGAAGCCCTACTTCCTGGCGGAGATCCGCATGACGCACATGGACATGGGCGACAGTCTGCCCACTTTAAGTAACGTGTCCCAACGCATCAAGATGGACCGCCTGGGGGTGTGGTTCACCATGGACATGAGCCTGCAGGGGCCCATCGTCTCCACCATCGTCACGCACGTCGACCTGCGCCGCTTCCAGGACCCGGAGCAGGCCAAGGTTGGTGCCGGGCATTACTTTATGCGTTGCTTAAGTAATCCTATGTGGCTGGCGCCCGTAGGCGGCGGAGTTTAAGCAGGACGGCGAGGTGGCCGGCGCGCCGCGGCTGGAGGAGCGCCAGCGCATCTTCTACAACACGCTGTCGGGCCTGTACGGCGGCTACGAGCACGAGGAGCTGCAGGAGGACCGCGAGCTGCCCGAGGCCGCCAAGCCCCAGGCGCTCAAGTGGCTGGAGTCCCTCGGCGAGTCCAAGATCTTCAAGTGGGTCAGCCAGCTCGGCTTCGTGCGCAAGAAGCTGGACGAGCTCAGCAGCACCGACATCACTGTACTCGCCGTCGTCAAGTCCATTCGCGGACGGTAAGTAAAGGAGAACAACAGTTACATTTGGTTATTGATTTTACAATTTATTTGCTATTTTTTAATGAATACTGATTTGTTATCGGATTAATCATTATCATTGCTATTTTTTGTAAAATTTCATTTATATTGTTTAAGAACTACTGTAGTTTATTTACTGCGTTGTTTTTCGGTTATTTACATTACCCTAGCCTTTATAAGTTTGTGCCTAAAATTTGCCAGTATTCGGGTTAAGTGAATTGAATGAAGTGAATGAATTGATTGAGCTTGAGTGTTGTACTCGTATAACTATACAGACTGGCGCTGAACGTGCCGCCGGCGCCGAGCGACCGGCTGTGGTACGGCTTCCTGCCGGGCACGCAGCTGGACATCGAGATCACGCTGAAGGTGGGGGAGACGCGGATCGAGCTGGAGCCGCTGAGCGAGTACATCGACACGCAGATGCGCAGTCTCTTCGCGCAGGTCATCACGCTGCCCAACATGGACGACTACTTCCTGCCCTTCGCCAACAGCGCCATCGACACCCCCGACTACCGCCTCAACAAACTCCGCGAGCTCATCATCTCCTACACTTAACGCATCAACCGGCATGTTTTCTTCGTGTTTTCTCATTGCAAGAATTAACTGTCTTTCCACTACGTAGAGATAATATTATGTGGGCCGGTGCACCGTAAAGGTCACGCAACACGACACGGCCCAGACGCAGCTTTATTCGCAAGAACCAGTCGGATTGGCTTACAGTTGCATTAATGCCGCGCACTTCCGGTCGACTTTAAATAATCACTAGTGCATGCATGATGCGTCGACCGCTGCGCAATTATGCAAAACGCTGAGGAAGCGTACAGATTAGTGAACAGTTAGGAATACAGTTAGAAAGCATGATGACAAAGACTAAGAAATTGTTGATTAACAGATACAGATAGTCATATTGATGCCCGCTGGACGGAGGTCAAGAAAAATACATGTAGACTGATGTATGTAGTAATATTGAAAAGACGTTTGCGAGCGCGAGAAAAATATAACGAACGCATGTATATTAAAGCGCGCAAAAAAGTCAAGAAGAAGAAAGGAAAAAGAATGAAAATAGGCTTAGTTGCATGCAATGGACATTTGGCTGGCGTGAATGGCGATCGGAAAAAGTAATTAACTACAGCAAAGAAGAATAATACTGGAACATCTAAATTCACTCAAACTGAAATCTAGTCAGGAAAATATTAAACCATGGAAAGGAAAATATTAAACTCATTCCACTCATCGGCAAGTATTGCGGAGAAGGAAAATCAGTGAATAAATACAGCATTTAAATTAGGCGCTGCTAAAACAGCCGACTGACTTGCAGCATGCAATATTATGCAGCTAATAATGACATGCGCTCGCGCCTAATGAATGCAGTTACTATATGCACGCGAGTTATTACGTCATGCGGCTTTGTCGCCGTTGCAATATGAAATACTTGTATCTCGATGAATGATTCTTTAAATGATTAACGCGATTTTTATTATCAGAGGCCTGAATGTAATATTAATGCAACCATAATACCATTAGGCTAGAACCTGACTGGGATGCAGTGCACAGTGCGATGCGATGCGGAGCGGAGCGGAATTATGTATGGAGTATAGAACTGCATAGATTAGAATTCAGTTGAAGAATGACGGAACTACGAGCTGCATGCGGAAGCGTCCCTTCCAGTTCGGGTTGAGCGTACTGCTTTAATAGTGGAATGATAGACTACTTAAGCTTGGTTGGCAAATGAACGCGCTGCATCTCCGCTTCCTGTTCCTTGCCGTTAATGCTGTGGGATCTGCAAAGGTCACAGGTCAAAGGTCACCCATCCGTATACTTCGCGGTCGCAGCTTAATAACGGGCGTATAATTGATTATGTACATAATACATTACATATATGTAAAGGTCAGTGGTGCTGGTAGCCGTGCAAACGGCGGCGGTTACTTGCCTTTTGAGCTGGCTGTAGCCGGTGTGGAGCAAGTGGGCCTCCTGTTCGGCTTCGGCCGCGGGTGAGACTTCCTGCCGGTCGGCGTTGCTCAGCAGCTGGGCCAGCGCTGGCCCCGCCCTGTCCTGGCTCTGCCCGGCCACTGGCATCCCCCGCGCGCGGCGGTTGTCGTTGATGATGCGCCGCAGCAGCTGGTACTGCGCCCGCAGCCCGAACGCCCCCGGACGTTCCTCCCCGGCGAGATCCACCTCTGCCTTATTGCTGGCCGCCGCCACCAAGGGGCCGCTGTTGCCCGTGCCGGCTGGACGGGCTGCAAGAGGGCTGCCGCTCGGACCGGTCCAGGCGATTCGCCTGCAACGGAAAATGACAACTAGTTGAAGATTACAGATTAATATTCGTGCACTTCATGAAGGATAATAAGTGCAATTATATTGCAAATAAATTATGGCTCTGTGAACTGGCATCGTATATTATACATCGCAGGCATTTGCCCATGTACACAGACAGTGCACTCACAATAAAATTAATAGTAGACTAAGGATGTGTACGAAGTATCAGTGCATCACTAATAACACTATAATAAAATTACTCGTATTATCGACAAATAAAGCGTTATGGTTAAACTGACAAGAATAATCATAAATAAACTATACAGTAAGCGGTATCAGATTGTTTGCGGCATGAAACCAGTAAAAACGGGTGCCGAATGCATATGCGCATAAGAGTTGCACGTTGTCTCCCCAAAGAAACCATTGTAATGAGAAAAAGTCAGCAAAATTGCTTAATTAAATACGCATTATCTTGGAAACCAACGCTTACAGCTGCAGAAAGGTCACATAATAATTAACGCACGGTAAACGGTTTACTGCTGTGCTGTTTCTCTCATGATCACTATCATTGTCTATGCTACCGACATCGTCACCAGCTTACAACTTGTATATATGTTTAACACGAAAGGTCACAACTAGCCGGGTGTTATGCGCAAATCGCAGTTGTCTAGATCTGTCGTACGCATGCACTTGAATCCTGCTTACCTGGCCATCTGCAGGGGCTGCAAGTGGCGGGCCGTGGCCAGCGCCACGGGCGACACCGCGGTGGCGCGGAAGGCGGCGCTGCGGTCACTCAGCCAGAGGACGCCGCTGGCCACCAGCAACAGCAGCACCGGCACCGACGGCAGCGCCGCCGGGCAGCGCGCGCCAACGCGGCATGGAGTGGCGCTTCAGGCTACTTCGGCTCATCGCGATCGGACAGCCGGGAATAGTGCATGTACACAATGATGACGATGCGGATGCAGGACTCCGACGTCGAGGTCATCAGCAGCGACAACTCTAACAACCACAGCTATGCAGCTACACAGGCGCAACCGAGCGAAACAATTAATGCAGTTAACGCCGCTTCCGGCGCCGGTGAATATATACGCCTCGGCCATTAACTGCGCCAAGGCGATGTTGTTCCTGCTTAATCGGCGTCCGTCTTAACAATGTTTGCGTGTGGAGAAGAAAGCCGGGAAAAAAGGCGCGAGGACGGATTCGGGGAGCGCGCCACTCCAGGCACTGTGCCGCGTGGATGTACCTGTAATCCGGCGTCCTTAAATCGCGGCGCCCCTTGTCTGCCGCACGCGCATTCAGCGATTGAGTGACACTTCCGCTCGTCGATGCCGCGGAAGTTGCGCAATTGCCGTGTCACTGCGTATGCTGATTGTAAAGCCGGCATCTTGGAGAAGGTTCGGCAATTAACGCGCTGCCGGCGTTAGGGTGATTTTTAGCGGAATAACGGTGGGTTTGTTCCTAATTACCCGCCACTGCTCCCATTTCGCGGCGCTACTGCAATTGTCGCTCGGACGAGAACAATACTCTTCGCGATAACGACACTATTTCTGTCAGCGGAGTACCGCGTCGTAACTGCACAATGTTTCACCTTTTCATGCGCTGGCCGAGGAAATGCTCAGCGACAGCGAGTACTGACTTATTTTGCGCCACTACACAATGTGGTGCACGTAAGACGTCTTTGTTGAAAAGGCGCTGACGCGGTTTACTGGAATGCTTCACTTATTTCACCATTTTTATTGGCAAGTTTTCGATCTCGTACTCTAATTAAACAATTTTTCTTTAATTAATGACATTGTAAAATATAAAAAGTAGTAACGTAACTTACGTAAGTAGCATGCGCGACTACCAGACTTTATTATTCTGAATCAGGGCTAATTAAGACGGCTGGTTAATCAGATAAAGCAAGGCGAGAAACAGAAACGTAATCGTGTATAAACAGGTTGTAATGTCAAACCGGGAACATAAAAACAGCAGGTACTGTATATAGTACGATTAAACAGTCTTATACGATTAAAGTCATTTTTATACATTTATCCGAATTATTTTTTATCCGAAAACAAGTATCTGAATTTCTTTCATGTAAGTCCGTGAAAATGTTATACGCATCATTAATATCCAACGAAGAAATGCGGCATCGATCAGCTCCGAAGGGAGCAAATTTAGATCAAATTTTCTTTGTGATTATGCCGCTCCTCTCGATTGATGCTTAATAAGTGATTGTTTTCTAAGTTTCAGTACTTACTGTACAAGTTTCGGTGAAGATTATTATTAAATTAATATTAGTATTAATATTATTATCATTAAATGCCGTGTGTTTTTATTGGTCAAATCGAACTGAAATTAATGAGGGAAAATGCGTAATTAGAGATTAGGAATCACTGAGCATCCTTGGGGGCGAACAACCACTCGCGCACCCCAATATTAGGAGGCCAGTTTTCAGGAGTAAACATTTTATCAGACTCATGAGCATAAGAACCAACACGTGCAAACAGGCTATTCTTACGGCCCTTTTTAGCAGAGTAAATCGACACAAATCTGACAGAGATTCCGTTCGATTCAATGGCGCTCTGGAGATCCTTGCTGTAGTCATCCAGTGTCTGATGTCGGGACGGATCCAAAGGGGGTATGCCATGTAGACAGTATCATTAAATTACCTATCTTGGATATCTTAGTACAGTAATATCATTCTTCATGTTTTATTAAACCGTCTGATCAACGGACTACAACAGATGTACGAGTGACGCGGGAATTTGTGGCAGTCAGACAGTCAGTGAGCCAGGAAAATGATGCATGATTAATTTTTATTCAACAACTAATCAGTACGTACAGGGCCAAAGGTAAAACCTGTACAAAATAATATTATTCGCTCGCTAACAGTATTTCGAAGCCAAAAACGACAGTTACCCAAAAGAAAAACCGACCGACGCGGACACTAATTAACCAAACATTACTCCGTGGCCACCCAACGCCGACCGCACCAACGAATAAATACGCAAAAACCACCGCAAAAAATTGGTAAGGATAGATAAGACGATAAAACAGATCCGCTCGACCAGCAGCACAGCTTCTTCGAATACTACATCAGATAAACAGAGGGAAATTAGGCGCGGCGCAGGCGCTTCTCGACGAGCCCGAGGGCCATGTGGATCTGGCTGGTCAGGTCCTGCCGGCGCTGCAGCAGGGCGTCGCGCTCGCGCAGCAACGCCTGATGGACCTCCATGGCCTCCTCCTCCTGGCGGCGCTTCTTGCTGCGGTAACGGTTGGCCGCCTTCTTGTTCTGGTCGCGCTTCCGCTCGGTCATGCCGCGCGCGCGCGATTTCACAACGCCGCCGCTGCGCCGACGCGGGCCGGCTTTGGTGGGCTTGCTGGCCGGCGGGGAGGTGGGTGCGGCCGGGGCGGCGGGCTGGATGGGCAGCGGCACTTGCAGCGGCGGGGGCATCGACGCCGGCTCCGGATGGCTCACACCTGACGACGAAACCACCAAGTTAATTTTAATCGCGGTACTTGGAGTTAGTTGATTCAACTGTTCTTTTTGTTCTAAATTGGTTTATTAAGTTCAAGTGTAAATGGCTTTCAGCTTGTACAATTTGTCAATAAAGTTTTACTTGTTGATTCAACTGCTGCTTGCAATACTTGTCGGCCCGCGAAATATAACTGATCACCATAATTATTGATTATATGTTTCAATATTGTCAATATTTGTGATAAGATCATGGTGTGAACTACAGCGATATAACCGAAAGGATTACTAATGTTTTTTGAATTGCAGATTTTCTTGGATTCACAATCGTTGTAAAACTGTTTACCTTGTGCGGCAGCCACGGGAGCGTCGGCGGCGCTGTTGCTGCTGCTGTAGGCCATGAGGGTGAGGAGCAGATCGTCCAGCTCGCGGGCCTCCTCGAAGGCGGCCCCGGCCAGCACGACGCCGGCCTTGTCCTCGGCCCAGCTGCAGGGGGCCTCCCCGCCCAGGCCCAGGCCCAGGCCGGCCATCACCGGCCACACCGCCACGTTGACGTCCAGCAGGCCCAGGCCGATGCCCAGGCCCCAGTCCATCATTGCGTTCTCTTTCTGCGCCACATCTGCATCCACACACACCCACCAGTTACAACACAGAACACACCCTTTTCAATAACCACACAAATGCATGCTGACGTAGTTCAAATAACGCCAAACATTATTATTCATTAAGTCAAACGTCGAAGCGCCATGGAAATCAGCTGACGGTGCGGAATTGCGGATCGATTTTTCAACTCTGACATCACTGCACAATACTGCCATACATCCTGCTCAGCGGCATAAAAAAAACACTGCAGCGCGCAGTCGGCTGGTTGGATCGGTAGCTAATGCCAAAAATGTACTGGTGGCGGAAGTCGGCAGACAACTATTTCGGCGCCGCTGACAAGAGTGCTGACGTCAATTGACTCAACTGCCGTTCACGGCTCGTGATCCCGCCACGAGACGCACCGGCTGTCTGCATTACATTCTGCCCAACTCTATGCATTCACAGTTTTCACACCCCCAAAACAACTGAAGACTAAATATTATTCTTTTTTAATTTGCAACAAATTTCTGTACTAACCATTTCTGTACAACGATAAAGTCACGTAGCGGAAAAAAGACAGCCGCGGCAGCATTACGAGTTATGTAACCAATTTAACCTTTTTCATTTCAAACAAACATTACATAAATTCATAATGCATGATATTGAAAAGTAAGATGTGAATTCAATTATTACGAAAATTCGCACAAGTTACTACGCGATATTCAAAAATTGCAACGTTTAAATTCATCAGAAATCCCAATGTCCCATAAATTTATCAAATTATAATTATGAAATGCTGCAGACATATTATGGACTTTTCCTTTGAATTTTAGTAGTTGATAACCTTGAGTAACCTTCTAATGTTTGCTAATTGAACGTTACGAGACAAGCACGAGGCGCCTGATACGAGACCCCGATACCGACCGTTCGCCTGTCTAAAACGAATGACACACTCATGACATCATCGCATATAAACTCAGCCGCCCTGCACAATTCCCAGTACACTGTCTACCCGCCTCACGGCAACCGAACAGGGTTCTCGCCCCACCCACCGCCCGCATCGCGCGCCTGACATCACGCGCACGCCAGTCGACGAACGCGCGATTACGATAAGCAGTAAGCTTCTCCAGCGGCAAATGACCTCAATCGGCGTCAGTTCCGTTTTGTTAAAATACCGTATTACGTGTGAAGAAGCTCCACCCACCTGAAGTGTACCACAAGTCCTCCATGCACGCGTCGGGGGTCTGCATGAAGTCGCTGAAGCTGCTGCTGTTGCTGAGCGCCTGCGGGGCTTCCCGCTCAGGGCCCTGGTGGATGAGCTCCTCCAGGTCCATGGCCAGGTGCAGGTCGTCGAGGGCGAAGGGGTGGTTGGGTTTGGGGAACATGTCGTTTGTCGCTGGGAAATGAATGCTGTCGACAGTATAGTCTGCCTGGATGAGGTCTCCGTTAGCGAGCAGGCCGTGGTTAAATGGGTCCAGCTCGTCGTTTGCGCCGGCCCCAATGGGGCCAGGGCTCGGCCACAGGAACAGTTCCACTTTCTCCATTTTGGGGATGCGCTTGAATTTGGGGGCACACCGTGCCATTCTGTCGGGGGGAACTGCAAACAACACATGGCAAAGTTGTTATGCCTGGATCGCACGGGCGAGAAATTGTTGGATCGTGAACAGACAGCGAGGGATACGTACGTCATTGTCATGATTGGCGTGAAAAAAGGACCGGGGTCCTTGGGGCGTGGGGCGGTTTAGCACATGGTAAACCCGAGAGAAGAACTCGACAAATTTTTAGAAGGCGTTGGGAAGTAGGATTTTTGTGAAATGAATTCTGATGCAATCGCAGTGTGGCGGACTGCTGTCAGAGCGCTGCAAACTTGAACGCCGTGCAGCATGCGGTGGGGCGTGGTATGGCGAGCCGATAATGGCAGTGGCAGTTCTGTGAATGGTTAGCCGTCGGGTACGGCAAACACGTTTCCGCTTTAGACTAGTCTGTCAGTTTTAATTTTTATTGTTTTGGTTTTCACTTTCGCTACGGGTAGAGTTTTAGACATCACACTCAGAAACATAAACGGTACGTACACTTAAAAGTTAAAAATTATATGTAATAATTAAATTAAATATTCGTGCAATGAGAAAACGATTAAGTTATTTAAAAATTACATTCTGCACAATGGTAATTAATATTGGTATTAAACTTTACAGTCCTAACTAGTTTATAAATACTACTGTTGCTATCTGGTACAATACTACGGCTATCTGTGCAGTTTATGAGAGGGCAAAGCTTGCCGGTGTTTGCGGTGGGTAGTACGTACTAAAAAATTAATGTTACTGGTACTGGTAGTGGTACTGGTAGTGGTGGTACGTAATGGTACCAGTCCCTTTTATTAGCGCAAGCCAGTAACACTCATGCAAAATATAAAAAGAACAGAAATATTCGAAACGCGTTAAAGTTTTGGAATTTTCTTCTGCCAAAAAGGACGTTTTATTGGCTACTATAAACATAAAACATGCTGCAGTCGACACACAGCTGAGGCGCTGTGGAAATTAAGGAAATAATAACTAGTTGTGGTACTTGATGGAATTACTATTATAAGCAATTACTGGGCTGGAGGCCACTTTTATCTCTGTTTATGCCGTCTGAAACCTTAGTTATCGCTACTGCGTAATAATCTTTTATTTCTCAATATGTACAGCAACGAGCACCACTCAGTATAATACAATCAAATGAAGAACTTGTCCCAGGTAACATGGGAAGGGACTGTGCATAATATGCTCATAGCGTAATAGTACTTTACTGGTAAACTAACTGTATGTATAAATAAGTGCCTCGTAACTATTTTATGGCACTTCTCAGCTGACTAGCGAATAATCAAAATATGGTGTTTTATTGAATGGTTAGGGTAGATGGCCACTTGTCCGTTTTAATTATTCTGGTGCACTCTTATAAATAAATGACAACTTTACTCTCTGTGGCGTCGGGAAACAATTTTATTATAAGTTTTCAGCGTTCAGCACAGCCAGAAACTAAAACAGTGGTCAAAACTTTTAAAAGGTAGACGATGGGGCGTTTCGTCTATAAAGTACTTAAAACATAGTTTGCGCTTTGAGTTTAACGATATTCTTGTCATTTTCCATGTACCAGCTGCCACTACCAGGAGTCCAGCACCACTGCTACCACTGACAGTACCAGTACCATTACGTAGGACCACTAGCAGTAACAGTAACATTTACTACTTAGTACTACCAGCTGTTTGCGGTTCAGATTAGCCGTTAATTGTGTGATTTTTATTCCATGAAATGAGCGCGTAGTCGAATGGTAAAGGGCACATGTTATATAGATATCACTCCCTCATAAACACTAACAATAAGCTTATAGCAACGGTTAAAAATCAACAGAGTCATGTTTTTTGCGAAGTCCTGATGTTTTTATTGTGCGGAAACCCCAGTAGCGATTTATGGCAGATGTATTGATAGGTTGGTCAAAGTTTCAGCTGTGTTAATTGTTAACAAAATAATTATTGTACGCATTCGTATGGTACTGTACAGTGCGCCGGCCGCCGGGTACGATGGTATTGTCATTGCATGCGTAATCCGGCAGCGACGTTTTTCAAACAGTAAAGTTTTGATTATTAGAACCTGTTTTCTTACTGTTTTTTCAGCCAATGGCACATCGAGAAACCGAGATATATATACTAGATCGATATTCAATATTAATTTCATATGTGTCAAATCCACTTGATGGCGCTACGGACGGTATCGGTACTGCCTGACGTTTGGTTTTACTGATAATATACATAATATATATAAAAATATATATAAAAATATATATATATATATATATATATATATATATATATATAAACCGCCAATTCTGCGTGGTGCTGTTACGGGGCGCGTCGAGCATTATTCCTCCCTTGAAGCCGGAAGTAGAGCTTCGTGACGACCTCTGCATCGTGTGCGAATTTGCGATGAGACCGTGACCGTGCGATGTATAGACGCGTACTGTACCGGCGTTAATGTACACACTGTACGGCACACGTGCGAGTATAAATTAATCAAGTACTGCATGGATTGCTGATTGCCCATCAGTAATATTATTAATCATGGTGATGCACGTGTACACGTACAGCAGCTTGTATAACTATAGTATCCCGCTTCGTACAAAAATTATTTTATTGTTAATACCAATTAAAAAGTATATAGGGGCAAAACTAAACGTGTTCCACGGTTCCCCTGTATTGCTGTCGTCAGCCGGCTGGAGTTTTACGTTGTGGCTAAACATGGCGCTTATGTACCGCGCCAGATTTAACCATATGTATTGCCGTAACGTCACACTCCAGGCGGGTGACGGCAGCAATACAGGGGAACCGTGGAACACGCTTAGTTTTGCCCCCTATATATGTACATGCACGTATTCTCACGCGATATGCCTGCATATTATGAAAGTGTATATCCGGATCCGCAGGCAATTGGCCGTAATCGACGACAATTTCTTCCAGCGCTGGCGTCCACCCCACCATCTGTCAGGATCGGGTTCGGAGCAACGGCAATATACTGTGGAAGTATACGCCCGCCGCGGTTGTGCATTGTGTACAATACCTGCCCCTACAGAATACGTGAAAGGTCGGCGCCGGTTGCTTTCTGAACCGCACTGGCTAGCTTCCGCCGGTGACTATATTTACATATGCCCGTATATGTATAGTTGTATATGTACATCTTCATATTGTGTATATAAAAGGAAGTGTATACGGTAGAGTCTTCTACGAATACGTTGTGCTTTGGATCGGGGTGTATATATTCCGCGGGACGAGGCTCAAGCTAGGTTAAGCCGCTCTCTCTCGACTTCCGGTAATCCGGTGGGCTTATCTTGATGAAGAGGATCGCAACGGGCATCCATGGAAATTGTCCCGGCCAGGATTGCATTGATCCCCGCCATGTCAAGTGCCAACAACGCCAACCTTTCCCTTAACGCTGCGCCGGCCGATCGCTGGCGAAACCCGGCGAGTGCGGCGCATGACTCCCCGCATCGGCATCTGCATCGGCATCATCATCATCGTCAACATCATCCCGCCGACGTGAATAACATTCATCCCGCCACTGCACCGCTACAGCCTGCGCGTCTTCGCCACAACAACACTCGCCATAGCCACTTGACACGGCTGTCCGCTGCTCTTTTTGCCCTTCTCGCCACCAGCACCGCGGCCACAACCGGAAGTAGGGAGCGCCTGCCCCGCACCGTCGGGCACTCCGCTGACCAGTTGAACCACGTAACGCCCTCCTATCTGCCGTCCGATCGGGGCTTGAACGGCGCCAGGGATACGAGTGATCGTGATATGATGCCGCTGCACCGGATCGCCTACCAAAATATGCCGGCCGCAGGTACGCAATAAGCTTCATCTCTGAATTAGACACTCTATTAGACATATACAGCAAGTCCGTATCCTTAATTGTTATGTGTAGGAATCAAAGGATTTCAGTATTATTATTAGTGATTCTATGTACCTACCGTCAAGGAAGACACTGCAATTTGACCTTAAGATAATCAATACAATAACTCAAATAACCGTTTTCTGGCAGTACTGGCAACGATCTACATATCTATATATAGAAGTGTACATCATGTCGAGATCATGAGACGGAAACGTATTGTACTAACTGTCATTAACTGATAATTATTAATTTATTGGTACTAAACCACCGGCACTTCCAAGTTTCAAAGAAGCGAAAGTAATATTCTTTACAAGCGGAATAAAGTGTACGAGTATGCTTCTGTATGTAGCAATAAAAGCGCGTATGTATCGTATCTTGCAAATTTCATTAGAGTTGGCCTTTTCCACTTGATCCGCTGTTTCCAGTAGCGCAGTATTCAAATTTACTACGTGTATGCAAATGGAACAACTGTATAATTATGAGCTGGCTATAAGGTAAAAGGTACGATGACGTACATGGCAGCGCTTTCTGCACAGCTGGATTAGGATATATGTGGAATGCAGCGGTAAAGCGGAAGTGTGCACCATTAGAGCGACCGGATATTTGCTGCACATTGTCCAACTTGCCGCTGCACGGGCTCCTACTGCATATACGACGTATCGGGGGTCACTGATATTTGTAGCGAGTACCGCTCGTAGCGATGTTCAGTGTTGCTACTCCAGCAACCTGAGCCGCACATGTGCACTTGTGCTGTACATAATTGTGAAAAATAAGTACAATCCCGGCGGCAGCAATAATTATTTACCAATCTGCAGCGCTGCCTGTTTGAACAGTCTCCGACAGGGACCGCGCGGCCGGTGTCGGGTTCTGGTTGAGTCACGGTGTCGGTTACTTCGGCGAGATGTAAAGGAATATTCCCTGACTATCCTGTTCTTTGTTACGCCTCCATTAAGCATTTTGTCTGCTCCCCATTTCTATTTTTCTGTTTGCTGTGTGGGCGACGTGAACATGTTAGGTACAGTGCCGTATTGAAGGTCATTTAATACAACCAAGAATTTGATTATGGAAGCGGTATGATAGTCGCATTATTATTTGCAGCCAATAATTTTGCTGAATGATATTACTGTTTTTCTGTGCCGGAACCGCGGAGGTTAATGGATAACTTTAATTAACGCCGATCTGTACTGGGGCGTTAATGCCAAGCGGGTGCCGTTCGACAGGTTATCCAAGGAACACAGAACTTCTAATCGTACAGATCACACGTGCCGCTTGTATATGTACCGGTTAATTATAATCCGTTGTAACACAACACAGCATCGATTTGATCTGGGAAGAAACACTAGTACAAAAGTAAATGCCGAGTTAATGCGCAGATAAAATGAAAAAATATTTGTTAGATGAAAAAGAAAATTTAAAGCAAAATATACGCCTGCTGAGGGAGGCTGTTTTTAAGGACTCAATAATTATCGGGTGGTGGTTATTTGCAGTGGCCGACTGGACGGGCGCCCTGCAGAGCAACAAGTCGTCCGACCTCCCAGCATCCGCCAGCAACCCGTCGCCCCGCCTCCTGGACGCCCCGCCGCCCCGCCCCCTCCCGGACCCTAATCCAGCGCTGCCGCTGCCGGCGCTGGAGCTGGTGCAGCCGACGCACGACTACACGGTGGTGGTGTACTCGGTCATCCTCATCTTCGGCTTCTTCTCCAACTTGTACATCGTGCTGCGCTTCCTGCAGCTGCGCTTCGGCCTGCGCCTGAACCTGGGCGCCGGCAAGGACACCGGCCTGTCCAGCGCCGCCGTCCTGCTGCAGCACCGCGCCCGCCTCCGCCTGCTGCACGTGGCCCTGGCCAACCTGCTGATCTGCACCATCTCCGTGCCCATGGAGCTGGGCTGGCGCGCCACCATCGAGTGGCGCGCCGGCAATCTCGGCTGCAAGCTGCTGCAGTTCGGCCGGGTGTTGGGCCTGTACGCGCTGGCCAACTGCCTGACGGCCATCGCGCTGGACAAGCTGCTGCACGTGCGCCTGCTGCTGCGCGGCACCGCCGCCCTCGGCGCCACCGCCAGCGGGGGCGGCTGGGCGCTGGGCTCGCCCATCCACGGACTGCTGGCCGCCGGCTGGATCCTCAGCGCCCTCTGCAGCTTCCCGCAGGTACCGGCGCACACACATAGTAATATGTAGGTTTATTAAGGTATGTTATTGGAGTATGTAAGTAAGCGCTTTAGTACGTGTATTAATCGGCTTGGCGGTCGCGGGCCCGATGGGTATCTGCCGATAACCGGATGTGGCCGGGGCCTGCTTGATTAGACTAGATTAAGGTCACGCCGATTTACTGCTTAATGCCGCTGGAGGTCTGGCTGCTCTGTGCTCAGCAGTGTGGGGGATGGACGCTTCCCGCAAAAGATGAGCACACGAGCTAAGACTAACTGCTGGTTTCTGTCACATTCCATCAGCAGTGCAGCGGCACATGCAGGATTTTAATTTTGCCGGTTTTGTTTGTATCGGAAGAGCGGTAAATACGTATACAAGTATGTATAATACTTATACATATCAGAAGTGGGAAGCCATGGGGTGTGCAGCGTATACTTGAATATTGTAGGTGCGGCCCGATTTATAGGAAATTTAATTAAAATGCATGCGACGTAATAATACCGGCCCATATCGGCGCACTGACAACACATCGCCATGACTGCACAATGAGCTGGTGCGCAATAAAACAGCTGGCTTGACTGTGACTGGCATACCGCTGTTTGGCAACAGCACGTCAGACGGCCAACAAGGCCACGCCGAGGCGGAAGTCCCATAACATCACAGCTTTTCCCAATATCCAGCCGTATCTGTTATCTGTATCACGATTGATTTCCCGCAGTATCTTTATTATGTACGAGTATAATTCTTCACATACGCGCATGAAAACTGAACAGTACTGGTACCTGTATATATACAATGTAATTATTTATATCTATATACAGTTGTTTGTGCTTACTCGTACGCGGGACCTGCGATTGTTAACTAATTTTATGATTAATATTTATAAATATGATGCAGTTGTGGATATTTTGTGAGATAGCTTCTTGTGAGCAACACGAATAGGTTCCTCTGGCCGGCATTTGCGGTCCGGCTGGCACACGTACCCAGTAAATAATATCATCCGGCCGGTGTATTGCACGGTGTGCCGTGCAAGTCCTGGCGTAGGGCATGTACTGTACTCTGTAGATGCCGACATTAATTGAATTCAGCGAGGCGGCGGTGTAAATGCCAGTTCCGTCGGATCGGATCGGATCGGACACTTGACAGGTTTTGCGCATCTCGCCCATCCCTTTCCACTGCTTCCACGAATTTCCACACCAACCGGCTGCAGCAGCTAGCCAACACCGCAGCCGGGACGTTTAAATTCATTTCGTCCTGTCAATACAGATAAAAATATTCGGTCGCTGCGTGTTTTCCTTCAAATTTCTGTGCACATACTCTCCATGTACAGTCTCCTATTCTACCCAAAACGATTAACTGCATCGTTTCCTAAGTGCTGTAAACAGTGTTTCGTATTAATTAATTTTTTCTTGTCGCGAAAAAGCTTGCCGATGAATGATTCTCACTCCTCCGCAACATTCATACGTTTCTTAGGAATTGATTCTTTAACTAATAATTAGCATTCGTTCCGCAGACCTGTTCATCAAATTAATTTGGTAGTTTACGCAACGTAGCCATATCAATATGATGCTAAAATACTGAGTTATGTAATATGTACTGCAATATTACAGCGATCTCTTTACAAGAAACGCAGAACGTGCGCCTATAAGAAAACTGAAAAATGGCAATACGTGGCTCGGTTAGGTTGAGGTGAATCCCGTGAGAGCACTTGCGAAGCACTGCAGCGGCGAAATGCTCAAGCAACATTTACCGGTGTGAGGCAAATAACAATACTGTACATGTACGCCCCGATGATCATGAATGGGCCAACAAATACAAGAGCGGGCAGATTACAGTTGCATGCCCTTTGCGTGACCTTTGCGATCCGCCAAGCCGTTATATATAGCCATACTCAGGGTAGTGTTGAACAACAGCTAAATGAAAGGAGTAAAACAGGCATGACCTTAAGTGCGAAAGATGGATATAAAGACTGTATACCTGGAGCCGCAACGGAAAGGTCCGTTGACGTTGTATTATTGTTATTGGTTCATTTGGTTGGTTATGCACAGGTGTTGGTGTTCCAAGCCGGCTACTCGCTGTACTCCAACAAGGTCATCCAGTGCGTGGGCATGGAGGGCTTCGCCTCGCTGGGCCACGAGCACCTCTACAACATCTTCATGCTCACCGGCATGTTCCTCCTGCCCGCCATCACCATGCTGGCCGCCTACGCCTACATCTTCAAGCACGTCAACAGCACCAGCGACATCCCCGACGACCTCGAGAGCAGCATCAACCAAAACGGTCAGTTAACCATTAATGGCATGCAAATGTTTTCTTATAACGCAGTATATATTTATATGATTATACGGTATATTTATATCATTATACGGTAATTATATACAGGTATGCGCTTTAAATGAATAAAAATATTTTGCGAAACGTAAAAGTTTAAATAATAAAATAAAATTTATAAAATTTGTAGATATAGGTATATGTAGACTGTCTTCTGTATGTAGAATGAGTTTTCTCATTCTTCTGAGTCTTATATCGGAATTTCTTTTCTTTCACGCCGGTCATTGCGCACTGCTCGCTTAAGTACTCGCACAAGAAAGTTCTGATTGATTGTACTGATGCGCAGTAGTCAGTACAATCTGACAGCCTAATTAAACTGCACTGACTGATCCAATCCGCTTCCGTGTACAGTGTAATTTAATTTAGCGAAACAACAACAGAAAACTGTTCCACGAAGAATTTCCATTGTAAAAAAATATGTAATCGATACTGTTCGGTTATGATTAATAGTGAAATTCCAGTCCGCTTATACACACTGTATATTAATTTGAAAATGGCATTAACGGTAATGACAAGGATGTTTGTCATCTGGAGAAGGACACAAATAAGTCGTCATCCATTTCCGCTCCGCAGAAATAGCGGCGCCCTGCGTGCCTAACCGGCGCTAATAATATTATCCTTGTATAATCGTGTCAAGAGCGGGAAGGTGGCATTGCGCCGATTAGCGGCCGGTGATTCGGCGAATGCCGCCGGCCACGTAATTACTGCAGCGGAAGCAGCGGTTCCTGTTTGTGTCGCTGCAAGAATTGCTGCGCGGCGAGGAAGCGGAAGTGGTGCTTATCAGTCATCTGACGGGCCCGCTCGCTGCCAGCGGCAATTGCGCCGTACTTGTGCTAATCACCATTAGCGCTACTTGTTTAATTTGTACACAAAACGAGGGCGCGTTCGGCGCGGGCTTCGCAGCGGTCCCGGCTGACGTCACGCTGCGGCCCAGCCGGCACGCCACGCGCCGCACCAGTACCGGCAATTGTATTGAACGGATGATTAAGAACAATTAAATGCAACATTGTTTGTCAGCCTAATCGCATTAAGGTCACAAGCCGCGCATGCGCAGCCCGTGCGTGATTAATTGTGCCGGCAAGTAAGCAGCGTTTTACGTGCAACCGGCATGCTGATCGCGCGTGACCTTTCTTGCTAATATTAATATACAATAATGCTACTTAATATACAATAATACTTAATATACAATAATAAAAATATATACTTAATTGCTACTTAATATACAATAATAAAAATTAATCATATTGTAAAAATTATAATTACTGCGCAATTTTATAAGGTACAAAAGGCAGGAGTTATAAAAAGCGCGGTGACCTTTACCGCTGCTACTTACTGTAACGATAGAATTAATATTGTATTTTAAACTTGTTATTAATTGTAATAATAATTACGGTATAATATTATGAGTTATAATTAAAACGGCACCAATAAATAAGTGGGTAACCTTTACCGCTGCTCGATGTAATTCTAAAAAATAATTATAATGTAAAATTGCTATTTTTAATTATTGTATATTATAATTATGCAAATTATAATTAAAGCGGTGGTCATAAAAGCGGGTGACCTTTACCTTCCTTGTGTAGGAGCGAAGGAGGAGACTTCTAGTCTGGACCCGCAGCAGCGCGCGCGCGTCTTCAGCGCCGGCGGGCAGTCGCGCGTGTCGGCCTACAGCCACATCCTCTCGCTGCACTCGGGCGGCACCGGCTCCGCTGCGGGCTCCGGCGTCAGCTCGGAGATGGAGCTGCTGGGCGGCGCCGGCGCCCCCGGCACGCTGCAGGTGCGCGGCGCGGACGGCGTGTACATCATCCTGGACGAGGCGTTCCAGCGCGACCTGCGCGTCTTCCTGGCCATGTCGCTGACCTTCATCTGCACCTCGCTGCCCTACGTGGCCTTCACGCTGTGGTACCTGGTGGACGCGCACTCGCACGCCCTCATCCACCCCATCGTGCAGGAGCTGCCCTTCGTGCTCGTCCTCACCAACACGCTCCTCATTCCCGCCATCTACGCCCTCCGTCTCTGCGCCCAGACCACTTGACTCTTAGATAGTTTATTTCTTTTTACACGGACTATGTTAATTCTGACAAATCGTTTTACTCGAACTGCACGAGCTTTCAGGGAAATGGTAGTGCGTAATGTTTAACCGGCTTTTCTGACCGTTGATTGCTGTTTATGGAATTTATTTATATTTTTCTTTTATTCAAATTATATCCATTTTTCAAATGGTTTTCTATTTTTTGTTGATTTTTTAATTCACTCGTCGGTTGAACGGTTAGATCCAGTGACTGTGGTTGAATTTTCCATATGAAAGTATCTCTAGTAGAGAAAATTACTATATACCGAGCATGCTTTTCGTTTGCTGTTTTATGCGCTGATAATAAAATTTAAATATTACTTCTGTTATTGTAACTGATGAATAACATGGCAAAATCAATGAGCGTGAACGATAGGCTATAAACCGCGCATTTTTCTGCGAACACCTAACAACTGTGTACTCGTAAATGAAGCATCTCTTCTGGACAATACTAAATTTATCCCCGGTGAATGGATAAAACTGGCAAAACTAATCATCTCATTTCCCATGACTGAGTGCGCACAAATAAAACACCGCTACAATTCACAGTTTGCCTCAGCCTTCACAGTAATCGGACAAATAAAAGGCAAGTAAAGTGAACCAAAAACAGGGCTGCAGAGACCAGTTGCGAGAATAAGGACGTCAGTCAATGATAAATAAAAGGGACTGGCGACAACAATTAAACAGGCTCTGGCATTGACAATTTCCAAAGGGTGCGATCAAGCGAATGAGATGCGTTCAGGGGAAAAAGGGACAGCGATTGCTCAACGTTGATCACACTGGCCGAAGCGGCGTTGCTGCGTTAGCATTTAGGCCTTCTTGCTCTTCACGGTCCAGCTCCACACCTGCTCCCACGCCTGCTCCCAGCGCGGCTGCACGCTCAGCCAGACCGAGTGCGCCTGCTCCCGGACCCACCTGCAATCAGCGCACAGCGCGTGATCAAGATTTAAGGCAGATGTCAGCAATTAAGAGCATCATGCTCCCTTAGCTGCACTCACTCCGCGGCCGGCGCACACTTGCCCAGCATCTCCGACACCGTCGGCATCCCCACCAGCAACTGGTCCACCTACACAAACAACCAATTACAGATACCACGGCCTCCAACACACAACCACTGCCTCTTCTACCACGATTGACATCACCATTTCAAACGTATTACACGTACATATCTATATAATACATATACAGATATATACAATTCAACCTTCCAATCAATATACTATTTTATTATTATTAAACCCAGCTTTAAACACCTTCAAATGAAGGATTAATTTTTTACAGTGCTATTTAAATAGCACCGTAAAAAATTAAATTAATCAAATTAAATGCCGATTAAAATACAGAGAATAACGGTTGACATTACCGATAACATTATTAACTACTACAGTAATATCTCATTCAGTTTCTCTGATTACAACCAGAAAACGAATTTTAAAACTCAATTTTTATTTATGAATTGCATCCAGTTTCATTGCAAATCAATTTGAAATAAATCGCATACAACTACTCGTAAGACGCATGCATGGCTTTAACACACACCCGAGCTTCTATTTCCTCCACAGTAACATGTACTCTTGCGCAAATAAAATTTCCTATCGGATATAAACTGGGTTTCGCGAAAACCTAATAAGCTGAGCATTTCAAATGAAGGAAATTCGAATTTAATCTGGAAGCGTTGAAAAATCCCCGTTAAATTCTTGTCCATTTGAATTTTCACCACAAAAAAATAACTTCCTGTGCATTACTTTGATTAAAAACTGAAGAATAAACTAGAAGAGACCGTTTTACGTTGTAAATGCGCCGTTGGAAAGCGGAGCGATGCCAAACTGAGCGTAAAACAGCTCGAGTGTTAAATGAACGCAACACCGACCTTGTGCGCGGCCTGGTAGGTCAAGCGGGCCAGCTCCTTCCACAGCACCTCCAGGTAGACGCCCAGTCCCATGAGGAAGTCGTACACCACCGGCAGCTGCTTCTCCACCACGTCCCACACGCTGCAACACACATCAATGAATGGCTGTCCACAGAAAATGACCAGAAGGGACGACCTACTGCAGCGCGGCGGCCAGCAGCAGCTGCGCCAGCTGGATGCTCTGCGCCCAGCTCCACAGCAGGAAGGGCTTGACGGCGGTGCTCCAGGTGTGCGCCACCACCGGCTGGGCAGCGTTCCACGCGCGGACCACGTACGGCTTCGACACTTTGTAGCTGTGCACGGCGTACGACTCTGCAATATCGCCAAACACACGTCACAGTTTTTTATCCACGCAGAATCGCTTCAAGCCCATTTAATTTTGATAACAGGACCGTAGTTGCCGTCAGTTTTATTTCTTTAATGAAATAATTTAACTTATAATTAATTCTACTTAATTTAAAACTATTTTTTGTAATTATTATATTATGTAATAATTTGACGATTAATTTCAATAACAGGACGTTGACTTCGGTAAATTTTTATTTCTATACCTTTAAACACTTCTAAAATAAATTAATTTTTTAAATACTTCAATAATGAATTCTTACGATCCGGCCATATATTTTTGACTTTAAATAAAAATTTATTTTTAATTTATTCCAGATTAAAAATTAATTTAATCGGCTTACTCTTCGTTCCGTGATAGGCGATTTCTCCGCAGACAGCCGCCGCCAGGACGACCAGCAGGAAGAAGTAGCGACGGCGCCGCTTGCGGCCGTCCTCCTGACGCTTCTTCGCACGGATTTTCTGCAACACCTTCAATGATCGACTGCCAGCCATTTAATTGCAATTTAACCCAGCGCAGTCTCACATCGACTGCTGTTTTGACGGTGCCGGCGTCCTGCTTGAAGGTGGTGGACGCGGCGGCCTTCTTGTTGGGCTGGTACTGCTCCAGATCGTCCAGGAATCGGACGAAGTGCTTGTCGCGGCGCAGCCGCCGACTGTCCTCGTCGTCCGTGTCGGCGATGTAGTTGAGCAGGATCTGCGTGTCGCGCATGCTGGACGGGTACTTCTCCAGCCAGAAGGCCAGGTTGCCGCGCTCCGTCTTCAGACACTGCAGCAGGTTGTCGCACGCCTGCAAACACCGCAATAACATGCGCCGTCAAACTCATTACAGTTTTAATTCATCACAATCGCCACTAATTCTTCTACAAAATAATCTTAGATTTCATTTTGAAATTAAAACAAAATGTGCTACAATTATAATTAATTTCCGTAAATGCTTCCATAATCAGTAGTCTCACCTTTTTACATGTATTTCCTCCTTAAATTGTAATTAAATAAAAGCTTCGATGATTCTTTTAGAAAAAAATCTTCATGTTGTTATTTTTAATTTAACATAAAACCGCTTCTAGCGGTTTGTATTACTGCCAGTGGGCAAAGCAAAGCCCAAGCAGCGCATCCCGCTGCGTACCGCGTGCTGGTACTCTTCCGGCTGCTGCATGCCCAGCCGCATCAAGAACTGCGGAAAGTACTCCTTCGATGACTTCTTCAGGTCCTTCTGAAATAATTCCTCCTGAAACCAATATTCATAAGGTCACTGCGTCCACCAGGATACTCTAATTGTCGCCGCCAAAATGTTGGACTAATTGGTAATATTTGTGAGTAATTCAGCCGATGCACCAGGTAGTGGTGTGTCTTGCATGGCATACTAATAATTATTGTTCAACATTTTTAAAAGTTTGAAATTTAATAATTTTAATTCTTTTTAATAGGCCACAGCCATCAAAACAACAAATGCAAGCGCGGGCACACTACTTCACAGTTAATTTTAATTAGTCTTAATCCGCGCAATCTGCGTATTGTTATATGCACTGGCTGCTGTCGAAATACAGGACGGATTTTTGTTCATATGTATGTATGTATAAATAAAATCAAAAATAATCCATATAAACTTTAATTAATCAATTTCGGAGTCGCTCGCTGTATAGTGTATTGGCCCTTACGTGAAAAATCCGGTAGAGCTCGGCGATTTTCTTCTTGTGCTGTTTGGTGAAGTTGCTGCTGTTGGTGCCGAAGAAGCCGTCGAAGACGTTGAGGAACATCTGCTGGGTGTTGGTTTTCGAGTAGTCGTGGGATTTGTGGTTTCTGGACACAACAGCGAGCGATTAATCAGTCATTATTGTACACGGACACAGTGTCCGATCGCGGGAGCGCACGTACTTGAACAACTGCTCCAAGTAAGCCAGACCGAAGCCGGAGTAGGCGCGCGAGTTGATGAGGGGGAACATCAACTTGTACCACACTGCGAAGCACAAAACGAATCATTTCATGCTAACAGAAGGACAGTCAAAAATATTCTTGCCACACTCATAATTAATGAGAGACAGTTTTAAATATCATAATTTGACAGTACATTTTCTAGTTTTTCCTACACAAATGGAAATGCCCAAAGTGCCGCTAGTAATAGCAAAAATTACGAGAATCAATATGCCAACTGAATCCGAACATATACTTTTTACTTGCTTCGCCATGAAATAATTTTGATAGAAACAAGCGGAAGAAGTCAGTCTAGGCCACACTAGATAGCAAGCAATCCAAGTTCAAACTCACCCTGCAGTCCGTCGGAGAAGCTGGTAAGGCCGGCCTGTCCGTAAGACCACATGATCATCAGCATTTCCTCCTTGCGCGACTGCACACTGCGAATCTCCTCCACGCGCTGCAGTCAGCCAGCAGATTAGCTGCCTACCACGCAACAGACTCACAATGCTTTACCTGCGTGAGATTCTTCTCCGTGACCAGATTGGGGAATTTCTTGAGCAAGTACTGAATGACCAGCTGGCTCCCGTGGTACGCTGCAAAAACATTATCAATAAAAATTATTATATCAGGTCAATTACGTAGTATGACGCAAGTCTACTTCTATGGATAATAATTGAATCTGGAAAATAAAAAGAATTAACTGGACAAAAGTGGGACGCACATCGACGGTTGGGGATGTTGTTGCGGCAGGCGTCGGTGACGATCCAGTCGAGGTAGGCCTGCAGGAAGTTGGCCGGACTGGAGGCCAGGAGGCCGTCGAGGGCGCTGACGAGGGCGCTGGGGGCCATGCTCAGTGGATACCCTGCAAAAAAACACTCAATGAGCAATCCATAGCTGTTGATACGACAGACTGCCGTCGCACCCCAGGTGAATCCGTGCTCCGAGTAGAAGTTGGGATCGCTGGGGATGTGCGCCAACTTCTCGTTCAGCCGCTCCACGATCAGCCGGATCCACTTGTCGTTGCCCTGCGCCGACTTGGCCTTGTTCACCTCCTCCACCAGCGCCTTCGTGTCGATCTGCAGTCAATTCATTCCGTTATCATTATTACCTCAAACAATCTATGATTTTCGCTTCCTCATAAAATTTCGATTTTTGGCTACATTACTTAGGGCCGCAATTTCAAATTGTGCAAACGCTGATACGAAACAAAAATCTCCATTTGGAATGAAAACCCAAATGAGGTTGAACATAATCAGACAAAATAATGTCGCATAATTTCACCTTCATAAATTGGGAAAACCAGATTTGAGCAAGAAATAAAATTAACGAAACCAAATATTATCAAATAAATAATGTTAATATTTTAAAAGGTAAATTAAATTGAAACGAAATTTAAATTTGGCATGGCAGATAAAACGCAGTTAAAACTATCAAATAAATAGTGTTGAATTTTTTAATTATTAATCTGAAATGAAATGTGAAATTTTACGAATTTCTTTTGAAAGCCAACGCTACAGAAAAGAGCAGAAATCATGGAACTGACAGTTACAGACTGAAGATTCGCAGAAAGCACTAACCTTCTTCAGCGCGGCCTGCAGAGCGGCGCTATGTTTCTTGGCAGCGTCCTTCGCATTATTAGCGCCCTGAAACATTTCTCAAGTCAGAACAGGCAAAGCCATAATGCAGACGCAGCCAGTGCTACAGGGAAATGAGAGGCACCTTGGCGGATTCCTTGCCGTCGTTCTTTGCGCGGTCGCCCCCTACACCATTAAGACACACGTGAAAACAGCCAAAATGCTGGCAGCGTGATGTGGCTACCTGCTGCGCTGGTCGGCGATCGATCTCCCGAATCGGAGGCCTCGTCGTCTGAAGAGCTGTGATTGGGTTCGTCGCTGCGCTTCGTCAGCGCCTCGGGCAGCGCGGCCACCTTGCGGCCCGTGTTGAAGCGCTTCTCCTTCTCCGCCCGTCGTCGCGCAGCTTCTGCTTTCGGGTCCAATCCGACGATCTGGCGGGGCTGACTGGGGGCGGCCTTGGTGTGGCCGTCGATGCGCGATCCCGCCGCGGAGTCAGCGGGATTCTTCGATTTCTCCTTCGGTTTGCGCTCCACTTTCTTCCAGTCTGAGCTCTTCTCCTCCGCTGGCTCCATACTTATTGATCGAGCAAAACCGTTTCCACTAAATCACGTTTGAAAGGAAGCAGGTGAAATCAACGGTCACAAGAAGCAGATCGCAGAATCTTCGACTTGTTTGCTGACTGAAATTCGACAAACCACAAGTCAAGGTGCAACAGAAAACGTCAAAGTCACCGTGTCCGACCATTTCGGCATAGTGACATTTCGGCATAGGACATTTCGGCATAAGACATTTCGGCATGAGGACATTTCGGCATGAGGACATTTCGGCATGTGGACATTTCGGCATACGGACATTTCTGCTGAATACTGTTGTTTTCTAACGTTTTCTGATGTATTCTTATTAGATTTTTGTATTTTCAAATCTTTTTTTTGTAGGCTATCTTAGGCTTTCTTAGGTTTCTTTGGTTTTCTTAGGTTTCCTAGTTTTTCTTAGGTTTTCTTAGGTTTCTTAGTTTTCTTAGGTTTACTTAGGTTTCTTAGGTTTCTTAGGTTTCATGTTTGGCATGTTTTAGGTTTGCTAGGTTTTAGGATTTTTACGTTCTCAATTTTTTTAAATTCTATGCGTTTTTCCTTTTTTCTTAGATTGGGTAAATTTCATTGGCATGTATTTTTCTTACCAGGGTCATCACTTTAGTAACACAAGCCAGTTACCATGCATGAGTTTTACAACAAAAACATTTATTTAATACAGTACTGTTTTTGTTGTAAAACTCATGCAGTACAGTAACAAAATTAACATTAACATTACAGTAACAAAATTTCTCCGCTCCTTCCATCATGATTAGGAATTATCAGTATACCAGATTTCATGCCGAAAAGTCCGTATGCCGAAATGTCTATATGCCCGATGCCGAAATGTCCTTATGCCGAAATGTCTTATGCCGAAGTGTCCAATGCCGAAATGTCCCTATGCCGAAATGTCGGTACGCCAAAGTCACGATGTCAACGGCACAGAAGTCAGAACGGGCGGAGCAAAGACGTTGCGAACTCGCGCTCGTGGGCGGCTGGCCATAGATACACCCTTTCAACACGTTCAAACACGTTGCAGTCGATAAACATTTTCCATCAGTGATCAGTTAGTTTATTTTGCGCCATGGCCCATATTGATGACGGTTTTTGTTTACGGTATTTATTTTCTGATTTGTTCAGATCGTCGACAATGCAGTAATGTACTTAACTGAACTGCGTAATGTTTTTCTCTATACTTTACCTACCGTGTTGCTGTTGATGACATGATGTAATTGCTGAGTTTACTGTAAACTGCGCTCAAGTGACGTCAGGGTTGATAGAAGCGAATTGTGCTTCCAGCTGTTGTGATGTTCAAGAGGGATGTGTGGCGCTACGGCGCCGTGGACGTGCGCGACAGCAGCGGCCTGGTCCGTCACGGGTTAATCCGCGATCTGAGCCACCGCGGCCACTTCCTCGTCGACTTCGACTGCCCCCAGCAACACCGCGTCACCGTCCCCATCTCCCAGTGTCTGGCGTGGCGGCGGCGGCGCGGGGGCTGGGCGGTGGGGGCGCCCATGCTCACCCTCCTGCGCAGCGCCCCCGACCAGCCCTGGCAGTGGTTCCCCGCCACCATGCTGGCCTACAGCAGCAGCGACAACGGCTACGCCTTCGTGGAGGTGGACGTGGCCGAGGGCGACAAGCGCCAGGAGGTGGTCTGTCTGGATCGTGTCAAGCACGCGCCCCCGGGGGCCGACTGGGGCGAGCTGCGCCGCAAGGAGCAGCACGCCACGCACCGCGGATCGCCCTGTGTTAATCGCTACAGCGACAAGTTCCCCTTCGAGCCCGACCTCCGCTACTGGAAGTACCGGGTGTCCTTGCCTCTGGAGGCGGGTTTGCGGCAGCTAGCGGGACGGGGGGAGTTCAGGGAGTGGTGGGGGGATGCCACGCGGACGATCCTGCTGCGGGTGAAGAACGGCAGGCTGACGTATCTCTCCAGCACGAAGGGGGCCATGACGAAGGCCGACTGCGTAAGCGGCAATATGCTTGCGCGTTTTGACGCTCTCATGTGACGCTTGACTATTTTGACATCCTTGTTTTGATTCCGTTGGCAAGATTTTTGTTAGTTATCTTTATTTTGATACTGTCTGGCTGATCTGGTTTGGTCATTTCCGCAAAATTAATATGGTGTGCATGACATCGGCTGCGACCAGGACATGCGTTTTTTGTGCGTTTAATAATTCTGTTAATCCAGTTGGCGGTTGCTTTAAAATATTGCTGGATTTTCTGCAATGCAACTGATGTCGGGTTTTTATAGGCAGCATTTCTGCAGCGCATCGCACATTCCTTGACGCGGGTGGCCGACCAGGATGGCAGCAAGGGACTTTTCCGTCTCGCTTCCGGTCCGACTGAACACTCGAAGGTAGGCATTGCTATTCGGAATTTATTTGCTGTTTGGTTTATATTTCGTTCGACTGTACTTATCTGTTTTGAAATAAAATATAAAACGGAGAACAACATTTTTCCTTAGAAGATTTTAAATATAAAACTGAATAAAATATCTTGTTTTATATTTCCATTTTATTACTGTTTTGATTCTTATTTCAGCAGTGTATTTCCTGTTTTTAGTTTGAGTTTGATTGTTTTATTTTGTTTATTTTGATCGCTCATTCAGGGACTTTTCCCTGCTGTCCGTTAGAGATAATCGTAATGTGGAGATTTGTAGGCGGCGATGAGCGATAAGGAGGCCTTTGTGATGCCGTGGGAGAGTGTTCCCTACGAGCTGATCGTGGACATCTTCACCTGTCTGGACGTGGACGAGCGCATCGCCTGCCGTCTCGTGTGCGCCCACTGGAACGCCGTCATCGAGGAACTGCCCACGAGCACCGTCTGCATCTGCCCGGCCAAGCACCGCGAGGAAAAGTTGGCCCTGGCCCTGCACCGGACCGTCGGCGCCGACACCAAGATCCTGGTGATCACGCGCGCGCACCACGACAACGAAGTGCAGGACTGCTTCCTCCACACCGTCATCAGCTTGTTGGCCGTCAAGGGCATCAGTGTCCCGCTGATCGTGCTGGCGCAGACGACGCTGATGGTCAGCAATCTGTGGCGCGATCCCGGCTGGCTGAAGGCGCCGCTGAACTGGTCCAGTGTGTGTCGGCGTTTTATTATGTTGAGCGTGGAGGTGCGGGTGGTGCGTCGGTGGGGCAGCGTCGAGGACAGACGCCGGCAGATGCTGGGGTTGATGCAGACGCATTACGGGCTGGAGAAGTACGAGTGGCAGCTACGGGAACCCGATAGTCTCCTCGTTCTGCGGGTTAAGAAGAGCGATCTAGTAAGCAGTAATATACAATCAAATGTCTGCTGAGCATTTATATTATACGATTTTTCCTTAACGGGGGTCGTCGGTGCAGTATTTTTCTGAGAATCTCCTCATAATTTATTTATAATGCGAAAATATCGCTGGTAGTTTCTGGCTTCGTCGCTGTTGTTAAAGAGTATTGATTTTTGTTTCGTGTTAATGGATTATTTATGCCGCTATCATATTTACATCAAGAGATTTTTACTTTCATTTTCTTTCCAAATTGAGTAGATTTATTTATTTAGCTGCCACTTCTCGTAGAAAAACAACAATCATCGCTAATGAAGGTATTCTCGCATTTGTTGGGAAAAACCACACCAAACCCGATTTGTCAACGAGAACAAAAACATCTGAAACGCGCAACCACAGACGCAGGATGCAAGCAAGCTCGCGACATAATATATTAGATTTAGCTAAAAAATGTTAAGAAACTAAAGTACAGAACGTGGTAAAAAACGGAACATGCTGAAGTAACTGAGGCATAGAAAAAGGAAAGGAATTCACGGCGCGCTGGCGTCCCTGAGCGCGCGCACTTTGGAGATCACTGCTTCCAGCGGCGTCCGGCGCTTCCGCTGCCGGCGCTGGTAGTAGTCGACGAGCATTCCGGGACAGGCGCGGTACCAGGCCTCGACGGCGTGCACGTCCTGCACGGCCATCTGCGGGTAGAGCGCCACGCGGCGCGGCTCGTACAGCGCCTCGCTGGCCACGCGCCGCATCACGACCCACTCGCGGCCCGACGCGAACAGGAACTCCTGCTCCTCCAGCAGGTCCTCCTCTTCCAAGGGGTCGGCCGCCTGCGAGCCCGGCGGCGACAGGACGTCCAGCGTGCTGCGGTGGGCCAGGAGGTGCTGCTTGGAGTGCGACTTGACGGGCGAGTGCGGCGTCGGCCGCTCCGGGGGGGCGGCGGCGTGCGGGGGCCGTTTCCAGGGCCGCTGCAGGCAGGCGTAGCGCTTCCAGTGGCGCCAGCAGGAGGAGCAGAGGGGGCGCACTTGGCGCCGGTTGATGGACAGCCCCACCCATGCGTACCACTGTTTTGACGGCCCTACGCGATACAAAATCAAATCAGCATACACTTTTGAGTTTCTGTACTCTCAAACGTATCTATACTTTATGTATATTTCTGAATTATTTCACAAATGCATTACATTTTCTGAGCAATTTTTCACCATGATCCATTATTTTTTACTAGTATATTTCATTCCATTGGTAGTCTGAATTTATTTCTTAATTAACGGTTGACGTTGTTACAGTACATTCACCAATTTATACCGATCTATTTGATGGGCAATTTATTTAAAGTACGAGTACAAAACATATAATCCTTTCATTTTCGCTTTATAGGAATTAGGAAGCATTATTTCACTCACCTTGTTGTTCATTTTTATTTATTTGATGATTTTATTTCACCGATTTATTGATTCATTTTATTTATAACTCATCATTTATTTTAAAGCGGTATTTAATTTTACGCATTTATTTCGCTGTTGACAGTAATCTTGGTTTAACTGTTGACTATCTACTGACCCAAGCAGCCGTAGCACAACTGCGCCTCGGAGACGTTCTTGAGCAGACAGGATTTGGACTGCAGATGCGGCACGTGGACGGAGGTGATGTGCTTCTTCTGCCGGCGGTCGCCTTCATCATGCGGTACTCCTTGTACAGATCCGTCCCCTTGTACAGGTAGTAGAAGCCCACGATGTCGGCGTACTTCCGCCAGGGCAGCTGCAAAACACAGCTGTCACGAGAAGCAGACAGTCAGAGCAATCCACAACCTTACCCAGTCTTGGTGGATCATTTTGAGGCTGCGGCCGGTGCGTTCCAGGCCCAGCTGGAAGAACTGCATGTCGCTCTCGTCGAACGTCTCCAGCAGCGAGCGCCGACTGACCAACCGCCGTCCGTTGCCCACCAACGCCGCCACCGCCTTCTTCAGGTCGTACCCGTTCTGGTGGAGGATGTCGGCGGCCAGCGTGTGCATGCAGTCGCGCCCGGCCAGCTGCGCCGTCACGTGCGGCAGCTCGTTGACGCCGTGATCGCTCTTGACGCGCGCCATCAACCCCACGGCCACCGTCACCGCGACGAAGGTCTCCACCGTGTCCTCCGGCAACCGCCCCGGCGTCCACAGCAGCGTGGCGTGGTCGGGCGCCGTGTCCGGCGGGGGATGCGGCCGGCAGGGCGGGATGACGGCCTGGAAGGTGGCCTTGCTGTCGAAGTGGATGCGCTTCTCGCGGTCGACCAGCAACTGCCCGGGCCGGTCGCCGTCCGGCAGGAACCAGACGCGCTCGCAGAAGAAGGTGTCGTCGCGCTGTGTGTACTCCGTCTTGGAGAGGCCGGGGGAGTGGTGCAGGACGCGGCATTTGCCGCGGATGAGGGCCGTGGGGAGGGTCTCCACGATGGGCCCGCCGGCGTCGTGCGTGAGGAAGAGCTCGCGGCTGGCCACGCGGTGCTCGCTCAACTCCCGCGGGGAGTACTCGGACAGGCGCTGCCGGCGCAGTCGGAGGCTCACCGGCCCGTCGACGCCGCTGCCGGCCGGCTCGTCCAGCTCCTCTTCGCCGTCCACGTAGCCGCAGAGGTGGCGCTGCGCCGCAACGGGCAGGTCGCACTTGCGGCTGTACACGAACACCTTCACGTCGATCCGGTTGTCGTCCTGTTCAACACCACTATTAAGAACTACCTCACACCTCACCAATCATCATCAAAGAATACCAGCAATTCCGTAAGACACAATGCACAAAGCCATTTAATAACAAGACCAAAGTCAGAAAATTTCTAATACCATTAATAAAGAAGCCATAAATAGTAAATACATGCATTAAGAAATTCATCAATAAACAATAAATAACATTTAAGAAAGCAACTGTCATGCAATCTATTTAAACCTTTATGAGCGCTTTAATAAACGAAATTTTTTTAAAATTAAAAGCGCAATATTAATAAAAAAATCAATAATTGATACATAACCTCTCGAAAACACTATTTTAATGATACAGTTCGCAATATTTAAGCCAAAACTAACAGAAACGGTTCCAGTATCCGCGAAATACAATCCCAAAACGCGTAACGATCCTACGCGCTGCTGAGATAAAATGGAAAGTCAAGACAAATAACGCAAATAATTCCGAAGAAAATAAAAAATCCCGTAACGGTAATACTCAGCAAGAAATGATCAGTAACTCTGAAGCCAAAATCCATACAAATTCCGTAGGAAAAACAATACTCGTAGCGATAGCAGTTCAAAAAATTGCACAATTAACTGAGAAACGCAAGAAATGAAATGGGTAGCGATTAAAACTGCAGTAAGACAGAGAAGAAATGATCAAATGCCAAAAGGGAAGGAAAAGCAACGCACGTAAGTTCAGTGTGTGGTAAAATATGTCGCCTATCGTGTCTGGTGAGTGGTGATAATGTTATACAGGAATGATATCGATGCGAATGCTGCAGAGAGCAGACTTGCACTTACCCTGACGAGCTCCTCCAGACGGCGGACCTGGTAGGGTCCCGAGGCGGACGTCTCGAAGTAGCAGTGATCTACACAGTGAAGACACGCAGTGACTGACAAGTACGAGTGTTGACGGAACGGCATCCTTCGTCTTACCGCCGACGGCGTAGCGCTCCTGCGGGGGAATGTTCACGTTGCTCAAGTGGCTCGTGTTGTTGTTGGGGGGTCCGTGATCTGTGCCTGAGCAGCGCGTAGGAGGGACGCTGCTCGCGGCGACGACGGACGCCAGCGACGGACAGGCCTCTGGCTCCACTACGAAGAAGCGGATAGATGAATATGTGTGCCAGCTGAAGCACCTCTGACAGGCGTCACAGGCCCCCTGCGACTTACTGTCAGTGTCAGCGTCCTCCGCCGATGCACCTGCAGATGCAGCGGCCTCCATCCCGGCCAATCATGCAGCCCAGCCCGCTCCCAGAGTAGCGCATCCACACCCCGATCACCGCAAATAAAACCGCATCACCTACGTGCCCCAGTGAGGACGCTCTGCATGGCGCTGAAGCGTGCACGTGCTGTGAAGAACAGACCCACTCACAGTCACTCACTCCAAGCCTCGATGCTGCCACAACAACACCTCGCGGTCAACAAATAGATCGCGCCTTCACCATTCTAGTCTCGGCTCCGTCAGACTATTACACCACGGATAAGTAAAAGTATACAACAGAACCAACTCCAAATTTACGTAGCTTATCGCGGGTGAGCTGTAAAAACGTTCGTCGTTGTCACGTTGTCGTTGTGCTTGCAAACTTGCGAGTGGGTGAACACACTTAACACAGCCACAGGAAACATTTGATTTCGAGCTGGCTTGCAATTTTCAATGCAGCTGCTGCACCGAGGTGGTTGCTCTCATCGCGCGGCACTGGTCAGTGCCACTTCGCAGTTTCACACGTTTAATGGTTTCTGATAAACTTTTATTCTAATGGTTTGCCGAATCTGGACAGGCTAACCCCAGCCAACAGTGAATACAGTGTTCCTAAAAATAAATCATTTTCTGTATAATAAATTTTGGTCTTTTGAAATATGTGGAGGATTACAGTCTTAGCGAGGTTTCCTTAAATGTCTATCCTGTAATTAATGTGCCTTGCAGTTGCTTTCACTGTCTTCGGTCCGGCATCGAATCATGCACGTTCTTTATCTTACAGAGCAAAATAATGATTTACTAACACAAGACACACACGGTTGAGCTAGGTATGTACCTAATACTCATAACGGTCCTCATACTCATAATCCTACTCCTAATTCTGAATTAATATTCATACTCATAATGGCTCTCATAATCATAATCATACTTTGGTCCTACCGGTCATCATATTAAATATGATGACCGGTAGATTGGTAATGATTGAGGTATGAGTTATGATTGTGAACAAAAATTTTTTGTTCACAATCATAACTCATACCTCAATCATTACTCATACTGTACTAGCGTGTCAAAAATGGAATATTTAATTAAGACCGCGTATACTCAACCGTCCACTACCGTCCATTTTTTAAATTGGTGCTAATGATACAAATAACTGAAATGTAAATGGGCGCACTACATAGATTCCACCAAACAATTCCCCGTTCACCACTATTCATGTCCACAAAGCTAAATTTTGACAAAACCAGCGTGTACAGCAATGGAACGCTACATCGGCCAAGAAGCTGGTCAAAAAGTCGGAAAGAAGATTGAGTTCCAAACCGGCGAGATTCGAAGCAATAAGTTTTCAAGGCAGAATATTTCTTTTGCAGTTCAAAGAGGTATTGCCGCTTCTGTTATCGGTATGGTACAAAATGTTATTTTCTTTGTTCGAGATTCTTGATATTGTTATCGCGTTTTTTATAGTAATAAAATAAAACATACACACAAAAAATGGAACAGTAATAACGCAGTTAGTTTGATCGTTGTTAGTCACGGCAACAGCAGATATTAAAACAAAGATTTATTATTTTGCGAAGCACACTTAACAGGGGCTGCTACTATTAATACAGTAATATGGTAGTTATTAAACAGTATAATGCGTTTGCGAATAATATTAACTGTATGCGCAGGGGCGCACTGGTATGATTACAAACAAAAATATGATGACCGGTAGGACCAAAGTATGATTATGATTATGAGAGCCATTATGAGTGTGACTTCCGAATTAGGAGTAGGATTATGAGTATGAGGACCGTTATGAGTACTAGGTACATACCTAGCCCACGATTGAGGAGAAGAGAATCGGGAATTTGGACACCTACAATGTGCTGTAACTTGGTATGCTACGTAGCATTACGTACAACAACGTATTAGCGCATTAACTCATTAGCGATACTTCTGTAGATAACTACAGTCTACAGTACAGTATATTTATATAAGTGCAAAGTCTCCTAACTGTTGCCCTTTAATTCTTACGCTCCTTTCTCAAGACATTCAAGAGTTTTCTATAAAACTGCAGATTATTGATTACATAGCCTCGCTATGTAGATGGCCTGATCTCTTGTAGTTATAATAACTTGAAACAAATGTTCAGAAAACGTAGAACGACTACTTACAGTACTTTAAATTAAACTGTTAAGAAACTGCATCGTATCCGGCCAAAGGATTGCCTTCTCAAAACTGTGAATACCATACGAGTACCGCAGCAGCATACAGCAATCAACTGATAATTATGCAGTACGGCATGTACTGCCTGCGACTCTGCATGATGTAGAGCAGTGCAGTACATAAATAAACAGGATTATTACACTAATAGTGGTACCAACCAAGAGAACGGCTTATCAGGCGCCTCTGTATTTAAATTATGACTTGTATAATATCAGACTGCGATACGTACTCCATGGCCGCATACAGCTGTAAGAACTTGAGGGTATTTACAGAATACGTTCAAGTACATGTAGTAGCAAGCGGAAGCGGACGGTAGTTTTAAAGGCTTTAAAATTGCACCCTGTTAAGTGGTACTTGCTGTGCCTGCTTAACACGCGCACGAGTCAGCGGCATATCTGATCTGCACGCTTCGTGGCTGTGTTTTGGTATTAGACTTGTGTTTCCCTGTCTGTAACAGCAGTTTCACAGCCAGCTCTTCTCCCATTCAACCGCAAGTTCTTCCCAACCAGAAATCTGTGCCGGACTGCATAGTGCATACTCAGCAGAGCGTCGATTGATTTATGTAGCCAATATTAGTAGCTGGACACTGGCAGTCATTGCGCCCTGCTGTCTGTGCCTGGGGGCTGAATCGAGGATGGTCTGATCGTGGCCAGTATCTGTAGTTTTGTCATTTGTTGCTATCGTTGTGCAAACCTCCACGATTCCTTTGCACAGTGTTGTCGTCGAGCGCAACAAGTGCCGAACCTCTGGGAATCACTGTACTGCTGAAGACATGGCCAGTAACATTACGCCGCCCACCCGCAAGACGCTGCGGCCCTTCTGGGAGCGCGCCGAGGAAGACCAGACGTCCCTGTAAGTTGCCACTTCGCGCTTGAAACGGCCATGTAGAAGATGAAGATTGTGTAGGGTGTAACCGGCACCAGGTTCCTCACCTTGATGCAGTACGATGTATCGAAAGTTAAATAAGATGTCGATTAAGGAATAATTTATAATTCTGTCATTACAGAATATAACAGGTAACAGATCTTCACGGCGCGTTTATTTATTGGTCAATGGTCACAGAATTATTTAACTACGTTAAATCCGAATCTTTCGAAAAATAAAAATTACTAATATACAGGAATCGAAATTATCGAATACCTTTAAAAGAGGCATTAGTAGAAATACTTTCTCTAATTTTCCCTAATCCGGTATTGTACCCATTATTTAAGGCAAGTCATTTGAAAAAAAGCTGCCGAATTGTCTGAATGCAGTTTGTGGCCCAGGTTGAATCAAGTGCGACGTCGGGAAGGCGTCATCACGATGGCCCTGGTCATTTCCGCCTTCCTCATCAGCCTCATCTTCTGCGTGGCCTTCTTCACCGTGGAGAAGATGGAGGAGGCCGCCGCCCACACGCCGGTCGACGCCGCCGGGACGCGTGATGCCGCCGCTCACGGCAGTCCGCTCAATCAGACGCTGCATTAGTTATCATTACGCATTTACGCATTACGAACAGGATGTGATTTTCACCCAATCTCCGCATAAATTTAGCGGCCGGCCGACCGGAAAAGTTTATTAAAAACAACGCCAAGTCTTGTAGAAACTGCTGTGCCTTTTATTCTGATCGCTCCAAACCTGCTCTAGTCCTTTTCTCCTGGATGTTCCCACCGTCGCTTTTGTCGTTCACTTGTCTGCAGTCTGATTAGTGACTGCTCGAGTAATTCCCCACAAAAGGAATTTGATTAAAAAATTCTTACAGACACTATGCAATGGTGTAATAAGCCTTTTTCAGAGGTGATTTATAAGTAATTTTTGTACTGCCTTCAGTGTTACTGTGCCGCAGAATTTGTGTACGCTATGGATAATTTGTGCTCAACCGGCGTGTTTGCCTTTTGAATCACCGGCAAATTTATTCAACGTTTTGATTCATACTAATGTGTGGCGGATTATTACATACCGAGTATGTGTAGTTGGCTTTTTACATCGTGAGTACAGTCGGCATCGTCGTACAATATGAATACTTCTATCTATGTATGAGCAAGTCCAAATTAACCATCTATCCCAGTTTGCGCGACATTTGGCGACAGTACCCAACATCCGTTGTGCAATGTGCACTTCCTCACGTGCACCAAGTCCCCAAACTTAAACGCTGAAACAAAAGAAAGAAGATCGGGATTTGTCGTTGATAGGGAAAAACTTTGTAGTGTTTGGTACACGCATGCGCGAATTGCTCCCGAGTTGTGCCGATGTCGGTCCGACTTTAACATACGGCAAATGTATCAAAATAATACAACCGACTTGTACATGCTGCAAATTACAGTTCCTGTGCTGTCACTCGTAATCCATATTTTTATCCAGCAGCAGCCAGTACAAGCAGGATTAGTCGTACTCTATATGCAGCTGCACTGTTGAACATTAAGTATCTGTGTAATGTGTTTACAGTAAACAGCTGAATAATTCATAATTAAACACTGACACAAACACAACCAAAGTGATTATTCGTAAATCGTATCCGAGAAGCCAGGAACATTGGCCTGCTAGGGACATCCGAAGCAGCAGCAGCGGTTGTGATGTTGTTTAGAATTCGGATCCGCGCGAACAGTATCTGGTCGTGCGTGCTGTTCAACAACGGCGTCACCACGAGCCCGAAGTGCAGTCTAAATCGGCAGCGGTGAGCGCAGTCCATCCAGATTCGAATTCAGCATCCAAGCTGGCTGCTTAACTCTTCCGGTGCCCTTTGTGAGGACCGGCATCCGCTGCCAGTCTACCGGCCGGCCGTCGTCGATGTGGCTGCGGCCATTCCGTTTCCCCGTCTTCGCTACGAGAACGAGAATAGAGAAGAATGGAGAAATTACCCTTTTCGTTTACTAACAATTCCTGTAAAAGCGCAACGTAATTCGGCTGTAGCTTTTGCTTCGGCCATCGCTTATTGACCTTCACCATCCTTGTGTAAAATCGGCCAATATCGCATTTTTGACTTGAATTATCTTGAGTGTCCTAAACTCCTAACGAAGTCGGTTTAACAATAATCAGCTCTGTTGAACGCTTGATTGATCACAACCGAAGGCGGGTGTTTCCGCTGCTGTCTTCCATCATGCATGCTGCGTTTGGTATCGAATTTATAATTGGAGCACTTTATGCGCGCACAGAGCTGAAGATGTTGATGGTTTTTCACTTTTAAACGGAAATCGTTTTGAAGTAGGAAATACCGTTTTGATGGCAATTGTCAAATAAATAATTATTTTTTTGTATAAGATATGGAAATATTGCTGCTCTAGATAATTACGTCAGTTTACGTGTATGCGTGGATGCAGTGTATAGAATGGATGCATTGTAGATACTCTTATGTATTCCCATACGCAGTGCAATCAGGAGGCGGTTTCCGGTTTCATCGCTGGCAAAAGCCATCCGCACTGACTATTTCACGCATGCGCTTGCAGCCTGGCAGGTGTTGGAACTGCAGCACAGATACCGAGTAGAGTCGCCGAGTACGGTACGGGCAGTTATTACGCTACGAGGTGTTGTTGTGTCTGATGCTGATCCGAGCAGTAAAGAAGGGGAAAGGAATAGGATTAGCGATACAGTCGCCGTATTCCAGTGCTGCACCGCATCGAACTGCCGGTACGCCGGGTACGGTGTGAAACGTGAGCGTCGACTGTGGCGTCTATGGGTGAGGTCAGCGTTTGACCTCTGCACATACATGGCGATAGTGCGGTACAAATGTATCCAGTACTATAGAGGAGTGATGCGGCAGCATCCTGCGGTACGTTTACTCAGCCGGCACCGGCTGATCATGACGAGCGACGCGTGTGTGCGCTGTTTACCCACTCCGGGTTGGGCCATTGGCTCCCTTATCCTTAGCCTTACCCTTACCCTTACCCTAGCGGCAATCATTAACGGGTCAAATGTACAGCAGCTGATTCCCGCCACACCACAATCACCTACCGTGTACGGGACATGCTCGCGTGGTGACTACGCACGGCCCACGTGCTGCTGTCACCGGCGCCAACCGGATGACGTCCGTGCCACGCATGCGGCATCCGCGTATCCCAGCTGCACTTTCCTTCATGTCATCCTTGTCATACGGCACTGTACGCCGACCTCTTGGTTTCCGTAAAGGTTTTCCCCGTACTCGCGCCCTTTCCTCGCGCTGCCGGCGCTGTACGAACTGCGAACTGTACACACCACGGCCATATCGTGTTGCCAGTGCAGATATGTAATCCTATATTGCGGATGCATGCGCATCGCCGCATGGTAGTGCGTGACCTTTCCGGCATGCAGTGCTACAGGCGCATCTATAAAAAGTCTGTGTTCACTTGAGTGGCTTTTTTCGTCTCTGGGTTGCATCGGCTTACCGTTGGGTTGTTTTGCACTTGCACGGAGACACAACAGAGTTAAATCAGCGCAGTTCGTTGCAGGATATTATGGTAATGTGGATACTTCCGATAATGTAACATCCCTGTACTCGTCTATAAGTGTATTTTCCGGCTCATCTGCGCAACGGATACACTGTTGATGGGCCTGTTGATGGAGCAATTAGTGCTGTGCCTGTCCATGAGCGTTGCGGTGTACCTGCTGGTGGGAAGTGTGCCGGCGGTCAACGCTAGCAGCAGTCGCGATCGTTCCGGACTGGCAGCCAAGCTAGTATGCCCGCCCGGCTCGGTGGAGAGCGAGAACGAGGTAATACCTAACCTAGTTTAAAATTCGTTTGTACAGCATAGCATAAGCTTTCCAGGCAACCGAACGTCCTTCCTTTTGGCTGACTGACTGGCAGCAGCTGCACGCTACATAGTCTAATGAATATACGATATTATTTCAGCCACCGCTGGAAGGTCCTGGGAGAGCGGCTGGCCAGCTGACTGGCAGCCGCAACAACCACACGGAGTGCTACGTACAGGTCAAGGTGGTAAGCTGGGTCAATTGAAATCTCAGTCTTCTCTCGGGTTAAAAGCCAAGCACTCTAAACAGGCGTAGCATGCCTTTGAACAATATCCAAATTAAAAGTGAACTGCACGTGTATTTACAGGGCTGCTATATGGCGGGCCGGTGCCTGTCGCGGAAGGGCATCCAGGGCATGCCGGGTCTGTGCCAGACGCTGGACCGCAAGTACGTCGGCCTGCACGCCTCCGCCTGCTCCTCGGCCGCCCGCGGCCGCCTGCACCAACGCGCCGGGCCCCACACCACTCCCCTGCTTCCCAGTGTTCCCACTCCTCCCGCTGATCATCAGTCCTTCCCGCTGCCCTCCGCTTGACTGCCGGAATGCGTCTCCTACAGAACATGTACGCAACATCCCAGCCAGTCTTCTAAAGCCCATTTTGCTTACCCTTTAACGAGTTATTCTTCGCACCAAGCAGCAGATGGCGCCGGAACGCATTACGGCGACGGCTGATGCAATACCAATACGGGAAATGGCGGAAATGACAGTGTACAGTCCGGTTTAGGGTTTTAATTAAGCTCACTACGCTGTATACATATTATTACATAATGACCTATCCGAGCAGGAATGCAGATACAGTATAAGCTGTGCTGTTTCTGTGATAAAGACTTTGATTATCGCCTTATATGTAAGTATAAGCACCTTCATCCATAATTCGCCCTTATTTTATGTACATTATGATAGCAGGCAGCAGCAGTGGACGAGTGAGCAGATACGTCAGCCGCGTTATTGTATTTGCACCGCTATTAATGCAGGCGGCATACTTTGACAGGAAATAAAAAGTTATCCTGGTCACGCGTTCACATCGACATTGTGTTATAGTATACACAGATCTAGACACAGTCACACAGGTACATAGTAACATTATACATCAAAGGAATTTATTTTTTTATTATAATTTTTCCAACTGTACGAATATGGGAGAGAACGTTATTCTAGAAAAGTACAACAACCGAAGCGGCGCGGCAAATTAGATCTGGCCGGACGCGTGAGTGCCTCAAGGGCTTGTCTGCTCATGAAGAACTAAACTAAAAGACTTGGACTACCGTGTGCCGTATGCGATATACGCTAATCAGAAGAACAATCGAACGAGTATGTACCTATTTAACCAGACTTCATCAGCATGCTGTGTAATATTTCAGCATCAGCATGCTTCATCAGTATTTTGACCATTAACGAGACTGTTAATTAATAACAGCCAGAACACAGCTGCAACGAACGCTGTAGCCTGTAGGCAAGTATATTGCTGTACATGTTTTGCTGCACGAGCACTTCCGGTAGGGGACGGGACACGCCGTGGTTGCAGGTGCTTAGACAGAATTGAGCGCATGTGGCTAGTCGGTGTTGGAGGGCCGTTGCGAGCGGGCGGGTCGGAGGTGGGGCGTCGTGGGGGAGGTCTTCTTGTTCTTGCTGGCGGCGTGGGGCCGTCGACACCGCGCCAGCATGGTGATGATGGTGTGCAGCTCCTGCTTGTCCAGCTGGCCGTCCTCGTTGGCGTCCGTCAGCTCCAGCAGCGTCCGCTTCAGCGCGTACACGTCGTCGGCGGTGTAGCTCTGATCGGGATTGGTCAGCGCCAGCACCTCGTGCGACAGCCGCGTGATCTCCTCTCCGTCCAGCGTCCCCGTCTTATTCTAACCAGCCAGCACTTGTACGACAGACCATCATCTTCGTGCATATAAAGGATACTGTACCTTGTCGAAGCGGTCAATGAGATACTCCACATCTTCCTCCGTCAGCCGCTCCAGCCGAATGGTCTGCGTACACAGAAAACGGCCTTATATTATTTGTAACAGCGTAACAGCCAGTTGGTTTGCCTGCTTACAGATATATACAGCTCTGCATCAGCGGAGGGTGTACGGTAAAATTTATTATATAGTAATTAAAGTAATACACATATTTTACTTTATATATATATTACAGATATGGTTATATTACTTCATATAATATATAAACGTACGCGGCACATATATTAACATATATAGGAATATACACAATACATGCAGTAATACTGTATACAGTCATATAAAATATAGTAGATATAGCGGCACCTTGTCAATGAGGATCTGGACGAAATTCTCTTCGCGTGGAAGTAGCCTGTCATGGAGAGCAAGAGGCATGCATGGCCATTCAGTATGCGGCATGTGTGCAGTAAGGGCATGCGTACTTGGTCAGTTCCGAGAGGGAGAGCCGGCCGTCCTGGTCGCAGTCGTAGATGGCCATCTACAACGGAAGGGGCGCTGGTTAGCCGTTACAACTTCGTAATTGGCCTTTTGGGCAGCCATGTATGAGGCATCTGTATCTGTACAATGGTCTTGGCGTAGTTGTCCAGCTGGCTGTCGTCCAGGGGGAACTGCTCCCGGCTGGACCGGCCGTTGTTGGCGATGTCGCGGAGGAAGCGCTAGGATCCCAGGGAAGACACTGTTACTGATATTACTTGCATGTACTGCATACTTTGGGCAAGCAGGAAATAAGCCTATTGAGCTGGGCGTTGGTTAGCCGCTGCGCCGGTTTGCCGTTAACTTTCCTCGAGACAGTGCCCATAATTATATTCTCCCACCACGTTTACTGTAATATTAATATATGTAGTTAATGAAATGGTAGATTGCTCACCTTGAGCTCATGAGACTCGATGTAGCCGCTGTTATCCTCGTCATACTTGTGCCAAATCTGCGGGAATGAAAGCGAATTCCAAGCCGGAAAAAGTGTTTTACTGATGCTCTTTCGATCCCCAGCACGAGGTGTTCCGAAGGCGTTCTGACTGATTTGTGTAATTATGAATACATACATACCTTCATGTAGTCGACGCCGCGAGTGGGGCCGCAGTCCAGCCGGAAGGCCAGGTACACCGACTCCTCCACCGGCAGCAGACTGACCAGCTGACACAACAAGAGACAGTATTAATATAATTCCCATCAGTCCATCGCTAACTTACGTGCGTAAATATAGTATGCACTAAGCAGTAGTCGGCGAATCATTCATGGACGGTCATTCCACGCTGAACCGGTTCGGATCAGCTGATGCAAGCGGGAAAAACAACAATTAATAACGTACTTCGCTGGCAGAGATCTTCTCGTCATGATTAGCGTCAAATTCCTCCATGAAATTCTTCTTGAACTCTTCCACTTCGGTTTTGGTTACCACTTCGTCCTGCTTGCAGAAAATTTCTTACAGAGTATTTAATCATTATGTAATCGACATTCTTAATTTTTATAATTATGCAGTGTGCCAGTGTGTACAATACAGGATGCTCATGAGCATTGCGCGGGAAATTAAACATGTTAATATAATAATTTAGAATAATAGAAATCGGTTATATATAGTTGTACTAAAATGTATACTGGTACAAATGGAGTTAATTAGCTGTAGATGCAAAACAGCCACGTACCCCGGTCCCGGAGCAGATGGAAGTGAGGAAATCCCCGAGGAAGGCGTCGATCTCTTTGCCCTCCAGGAAACCGCTGCCTACGGGCGCATGCGCACAACTTGGCAGATTAGTGCTACGTAACATTCAGCTGCGCAATGTCCACTGAGGGATGCCCAGTTAGGGAATCTACGGAGACTGAACTGAACTCACGGTCAGTGTCGTAGTGGCGCCAGATCTCCTGGAATTTGTAGCCGCTGAGGGGCACCACGCGGCCGCTCTTGCCCATGAGTTTGGCGTCGATGAAGTTGCGCGTCTGGCTGAGGGAGGTGCTGTGGCGCCGTCGCAGACACACGTTGGGCGCCACCGACAGCGTGCTGGCCAGCCCCGCTCCCGCTCCCGGCCGGCTTGCCATCCCGTCTGGATCCTGACGCGTCTTAAGACAATTCCCTTGGCAGTGCACGTCAGTCGTATTTAAAGAACGCTGGTCGCCAATAAGGAACTACTGGAAAAACGTGCACCAAACGTGCGGAACGCAAAAAAAAACGCGTTAGACGGCTACAGTAGATGCTAAAATTATCAATGCAGGAGACAACTGAATGCTGTTCCGCCTACAGATACCAATGCCCCGCAGGCCATAACCACTGAATTTTGTCGTTTTTATTAATATTACTTCAGATATGCGACGATGTAAGGAAATGGAAAGCTGCCCTGTATACGTGAAAAGTTGGAAGATGGAGCGAAATTACGTGCCGGTATACGGCGTTTCCTACGCTTTCGCGCATGCTTGTTTGCTTGTGTGCTTGCACCGGGGCCAGCAACGTGACATGTGCAGCACACTATACTGTACAGCATTTGCGGGGACAATGCGTGTTCGTGGAAAGTGATCTGTTCTTTGTGGTGCGCCGTGAATAATGCTTTAGTACTTGGTTGCAGCTGTGGCTCACCCCGGGCGACGCGAAGCACATGCCGGAAACTGGCAGACCGGCAAACGGTACTTACGGTAGTGTCACGTCGAAAAAAGAAAAAAAGCCAGCAGCGTAGCTGTGCAATAGTTTTGCCACTGTATTGAACTCTTTTGGTCAGACGGCACTGTAGATGTAGTATGTACTGGATAATTATCAACGTACAGCCTACAGAGGAGGTATTCTGCGGCTTGCATCAGTGAATCAGTAAATCTGTCAGTCTGGCAGCGTTGCTGTACATGTTACGGCCACCTGCAGGCTTTACTGCAATTGTCACAAGACACCTTATACGATTTGCATTTACGCACTGATACGGTATCGCTCGTACGTTCTTAGTTGTCACCATCGCTTGACCAGTGTAGTTCGCAACGCAAGAGGCCGGCAACACGGGCGCCATCGCACCACGTCACCACTGCGACACTGCCGGCTGAAGGTCACCGGCTGCAGGCATTAATTACAGATACACAAGTATCGCGTATGCGTTAAATAAATTTTACTCTCGGTCTAACGCCTCTTTCAGAAAGAGGGCAACGACGAAATAACTGCTGGCCAGATGCGTTCTGGCTAGTTGTAGTTTTCTGTTAGCTTGTTAGATTTCCTGTTTTTTTTTCTAGTTAAACGACTGTACTCGTATTACTAGCGGTGGTTGCGAACCACATTATTGCACGAGCGCGAGCGCCAGTACCACGGGGAAATGGTATTGGGATTGTGGAATTGGGAAAGCGTGACGTACGCTCTTCGTGGCGTCAGACAAATTTTATGCTCTTGACGAAGACTATTGCAGCCCCTCGCGCTTAATATTCGCGCTCGGTGCAAATGAAGACGTGTAATTATATAATCAAAAAACAGAAGTTTTAGAAAACAGCGACGACCAAGCGGTTAACTGGAGTGCTGACGCTGCATGTTAGCCGGCTCACGCAAATATCTTCCACCAAGATAACATCAAGATGGTACGACGGCAATTTCCGAATGGAAAGGTTAATTTCTGGTTACACCCCCTTCTGCCGGCTTGCGTAATGCGCACAATCAGCCGGTACTTCGTCGAGAATCAGCAAGAAGTGGCGCATAAACAGCGCCCGCTGACTGATTATCGCCGGCAGAATAGCTTCGTTACGGCGCAGCAGGAGCCGGGCGCAACGACGCCTAATGAACCCGCCCGGCCGCCATATGTAGGACAATATCCCAACTGCGCTACAACTAACGAATAACAAACATTCGACATCAACTGCAGCGTGCCTGAAACGTATTTCGACACTCACGCACATCTCGCTATCTGCAAACCGAACCAACACTCAACAGCACCATCCTGCGAGCTGTATTTTTTAAGAACGACGTAAAGGTCATTAGCACACGGCCGACGTGGGTTTGCTTTGTTTTGCGTGGAATCAGCGAGCCGATTGACTTAACCACGATGAATGACTCCAAAGAAGCGGCAAAGGAAGCGCGGAGTCTGGCCAAGCGTTTCCAGGAGACGATGCGCATCAATTACCGGCTGGTCCCGCTCAAGTTCCTCATGCTCTTCACTTACGGAGGTTAGCTTAAAAATTACATTAAGTAAAGGCTGATTCAGTGATTGCCGCCCATGAGCGCATGCGGCGTAACAGCAACAGATGTGCAGTTACGTTTTATTTTATTTTATTTTATTTTATTTTATTTTATTTTATTTTATTTTATTTTATTTTATTTTATTTTATTTTATTTTATTTTATTTTATTTTATTTTATTTTATTTTATTTTATATTTTATTTTATTTTATTTTATTTTATTTTATTTTATTTTATTTTATTTTATTTTATTTTATTTTATTTTATTTTATTTTATTTTATTTTATTTTATTTTATTTTATTTTATTTTATTTATTTTGTTTTATTTTATTTTTGGTTTAAAAAGAATTAAAATGGGCAGGTATGGCCGCCCTGCACCCGTTCCTGACGGTGCACATGAAGAGTATCGGCCTGACCCTGACGGAGTCGGCGCTCATCTACGCCCTCCTGCCCTTCGTCACCTGCGTGGGCCCGCCCATCGGCGGCGCCATCGCCGACAAGATCGGCAACTACAAGGCCGTCATGATCGGGGTGGACGTGCTCAGCATCCTCTTCCACCTCCTCATGCTCATCGGCGTCCCCTCCGCAGCCCCGCCCCCGCCTTCACTTTCCTCCCATCCGGTCAGTTATCTCCAGGCGACGTTTTCCTGCCGGAATGCATCGCCCCTTTGGAGCCCCCCGTCCCCGCCCGAGTGCCCGACGCTGGTCAGTGTGGAGAGGCCGGTCGAGCGCTTAGCAATGGATTGTCAGTCTAACTGCACCCCGGTGGGCGGACCAGCCCCCTTCTTGTGTACCGAGACCGATTACAAAGGTCAGTGCTTACCGTTCGACGCCAGCACCCATTCGCTGTCTAACGTATCGATGGCATTGGTCAACGGGTCCATTTATCTGGACACTTTTGTGCCTTCATGGAGCCGCGATGTAAAGCCGACGCGGAAGTTCCGGTGTGTCCTGGAAGTCGGAGGTGAATGTGATGTGCAGTGTCGGCTGTCCGGAAACATCGTCGTTCAGTGCGCTACTCCGTCGGCGTTAACCGGCGTCAACCGCCTGTGGACGGTGGTCTTGTACGCCACCTTCCGCGTGGTCTCCAACGTCTTCATCGCCACCCTCATCTCCATCCTGGACGCGGCGGCCTACCAAATGTCGGAGGAATACGGCGGTAATATACACTTGCAGCCGCTCGTGTTTGGCAGTTTGAGGCGGTTTACTGAATGTCGGTTGCAGGTGATCTGGGTTTCCAGCGCATGTTCTCCCTCTTCGGCATGTGCCTGGCGCCGCCCATCTCGGGCTTCCTGGTGGGCGTGGCCAGTCAGAAGCGCGGCGCGCCCGACTACGCGCCGGCATTTTACATCTTTGCCGGACTGCACGGCATGGCCACCATCATCACGCTGTGCTCGCCCATCAGTCTGCGCACCGGCGCCCAGAGCATCTGGCGCAACGTCGGCAAGATCATCCGGCGTCCCAAGGTGTCCGTCTTCGTCGTCATGATGTTCTTCGGCGGGGCCGCCTGGGGCTTCCTCGAAAAGTGAGCCTTTTGCTGATGCAGTTATATTGTTTTTAATCGGCCTACTTTTTAATATTGATCCCTAACAGCTTCCTGTTCTGGTTCATGGAGGACATGGGCTCGCCCAAGTGGCTGCTGGGCCTGACCAACACCACCTCCGCCATCGCCGCCATTCCGGTGCTGGCGGTGGCCACGCTGCTGATGCGCTACTTCGGGCACATCAAGATCCTGACCTTCTGCTTCTTCATCTACGGCATCCGCTTCCTGGCCTACTCCTTCATCTACGACCCCTTCCTGGTGCTGCCCGTGGAAGTGCTCGAGGCCTTCACCACCTCCCTCTTCGCCGTCACGGCCTCCGTCTACGGCGGGAAGATCGCGGCCGAGTACCTGGCCACCATACAGGGATTGGTGGGCAGCGCCCACAACGCCATAGGTATGTATATGTGTGACCTTTAACGTAATTGAAGGATTGCGCATAAAAGCTCATTGATAGGACGCGGCGTGGGCAGTTTGGTGGGCGGGGTGATGTTCGAGAAGCTGAAGCCGCGGATGACCTACCGGATCTTCGGCAGCTTTTACGTCGTTCTGGGGATCATCTACCTGGTTCTGCATTATGCCTGGCTGCGTCGCTTAAAAGATCCTAAATCAGCGGAAGCGTTGGGGCCCAGTGCCGATTCAGGTCAGTACTCCCGGCGCTCCTGTTGATACTGCCGCCGTCACCGTCATGGTTGGCGCGTTTGCTGTATTTATGCCTCCCTGTTGCGCTGTTCGTAGGCTACCCAGTGGAGGAGATTGAGAAGCTGCACGGACTGATGCCGGCGGTGGGCGGCGATCCGCAGCACCTGAGTCCCGACAACGAAGCGGCGCTCACGCGCTTCGCCGTCATGGGAGCGCTGACCCGCCGCTACAGCCAGGCGCCGCCCCTGATCCACAACTGCGAGCCGGCCGACCCCGGACACGACCACAGCTCGCGGCGCAGTTCGCGCCGGGGATCGACGCTGCTGCCCACCGTCAACTACCTCATTCATCGCCCGTCGACGCATCTCTAAAACCGCTTCGCTTTGTATCCAGGCATTATATTTCGCCACATTACACTTGCAGGTTTCACTGTTTGTTGTAGGAAGACATTGTGGAATTTATTACTTATTGTAATTTGGTAAAGGTAGCGTCAAGGCACGCACAGAGTACACGTGATAACAAAGTCAAACCGCCAAAATCGGCAGGCAGAAATCACTGTTACAATAATTGCATACTTTGCACATCAACTTGTCAAAACACCAAATACATTCGCACTAAGAAAACACAGAAAAAGATGTGCCGGTCACGTGACCAGCGTTATGTCCAGCGGAGCAGTGTAGTCCAGGATGACCGCCCGGCTCAGAGGGCCTTCTGCCGGCCGGCCTGGCGGGCGAAACGCCGGCTGCGCTCGGTGACCTCGCGCGCTAATATGGGCGTCATTAAGAGGACCTTCTCGCGCTCCTTCTGCTGGCGATCGCTCTCGCCTGGTCTACAAAACACACGCAACAAGTCAACCAACCGGAAGACACCGAAAGCTAGAGAAAAAACGTACGCGGGGGTGGCCAGCATCCGGCGGATGTTCTCCGCCTTCAGACGGCGCTCCCGCTTCACACTGGCATCATCCGGCTCCTCCTCGAAATCCGTGAAGCGCTCGGGAATATAAATCTTCTCGGGGGAATCCAGTCGCAGCTGCAAATCATAGGAAATCTCCTCCATCTGGCTGCCGCTCGGGGCCGGCACGGCGTAGTGCTCCCGGTCGTCCGCCGCCTTGCGCACCGCCTCCAGGATGTCCCGACCGGCGGCCGAGGAGATGGTGTGGTGTCGGCGCCGGCGGGCGGCGCTCTTCTGTTTGGGCGGCGGCGAGGGCGCGGAGTAGTGGTACAGGACCTTCAGGCTCTCGGCCTCCTCCGGGGAGTCCCGGTCGGAGGCGAAACAGTTGAGATTCGGGCAGCGGCGCGGCTGCTCCTCCAGCTCCTTCATAATCTCCTGCAGCTGGCTCAGACTCCGCTCGAACTCCGTCGGCATCTCTTCCGGCGACGGGTTCTGTGGGTGAAAAGAGGAAGAATGAGGTCACCGGTACAGGCGGGTTAAAGGGGGGTTTTTACCATACAAAGTCTGCGTAGCGGCTCATGTACGGCTCGTCCACCGATACCTCGTCGCTGGCGCTGGCGGCGCTGCTGCTGGCGCTGCTGTGGCTGTGGGCGTGGCCACGCACTGGTGGGTCGGGGGCCGACGGGCGGGCCACGGGCTGGGCGTGCGGCGGCTTGCTGGACGCTGAGGCCGTCAGCTTCTCCCTGGATTCACTGGCGGAACGGGTGCGCAGTCCGTTATTTCCCTGCAAGGCAATGAAGGGTTAGCATCAGCGGCAACATACAAGCGTTGCTCTAGTAAATGCTGCGTTGATTGACCGTTAATGATTATTAATCAAACGAATTAATCGGATATGCTTGTCAGAGTGTTGTCACTGGCAGCGTGAGTCATGGGAAAATAATTCGCCGTCTGTCCATCGACGCTCGACGGCAGCGTGGTGATTAAACACTTGGCGTTGCACAACAGTTTGTCATTAGCATACATTATCTGCCGTTGTGCTCAGGCTGTTGGCGCACAGCCAGAACGTGGCTTTATATGCATATAATTATGCGATTACTGTATGTACGAAAGCCTATAAACCAGAGATGTCAGGAAATTCCAGACCAAATTAACAATTGATATAAAAATAATTTCAAAATAATCATTCGATAAAACGGAGAGGAACAAACGTATTAAATAATGTTATTATGTTGTACCTTATATTCGGGTAAGGGCGCCGGCGTAACACTGGCAGCCGGCTCATCACGCGGATGGCTGGCCAGTTTCCAACTGCGGGCGCTGACAGTGTCCTCCCTCGTTACCGTCCCCGCCCCGGCGGCGGGCGCCGTCCGTCCCGGGCGCAACACTTCGTACTCGTTCTCGCCGCCGCTCTTGTAATAATCGCGCTCCACCTGCAGCTCGCGCACCTGGCGCCGCAACTCGTCCAGCTCCCGCTCCACGGCGTCGCGGCCGGCGGGCGGTGGCCGTGGCGGCGGCTGCGCGGCCGTCGGCAGCAGCGGGTAGCGGATGACCTCGTGCTCCGGGACGAAGAGCGGCCCGCTCTGCTGCTCCTTGATGAAGGCCTCCAGGGAGGCGATCAGCGGCTCCAGTTCGTCCATCTGTGTGACGCTCGCTGTTACGAATGAAGTGGGGAAATGAAAACGCATAACGCTCACCTGCTGATTGCTTTTCGCGATCTGCTCCAGCACGTACACGTAACGCCTGCAAGTGCAACAAGTGGCCAATTATTCGGGCCTTTCGTTATAAGCGTTCTGCTGATTAATCGCTAGCTGAACAGCGCGACACGACAGAATTCTGTCAAGTGGGCACTTTGCCGCGCTGTGTGGCGCTCTTGTGCGCGTTCGTTCCGCGAGCTGCTTACTGCTTAGGCGTCAAAAGAGGCACAATTATTTCATAATGCACAAGTATAACTGTAGCGAATTGTCCTTCCCAACCGGTTTTCGTCTTTGTACACGGCTACTTTCGCCGGCATTCGCAGTAAATCGGATGCCCACACAATTTCTCGCCGCGTGATTAATGTTGCCGCGCTATTTGTGTTTGAGAAGTACAGAATCGTATGAATGCATATATCTTTGTCGACGTTCGAATGCTGGTGATTTTCTTGGCAGCAGCAACTCAAGCGCGGCAGTATTAGGATGAGACTGTTAATAATTCTTGATTATACGACTTGCAAGTGGAACATTACGGTCATTTCGGAGCGGAGCCGACTGCGCGTCATACGCGTCATGCGGATGGGGCGTTGATTTGGCTGTGCTGCACAGTGCGATGTTGGATGATAACTTGCTAATAATCATGCACTTGGCGACGCTTAACTGTCTTACTAATGTACGGCTGAATCGCTGAGCAAATTGCCTCGCTTAGTCATATTCCCGTCAATCTCATGCCGTTGCGCGAGTTCTTTTCGCTGCAGAACTAAGTCTTGTACTCGATGAATCTGATGAATTTTACCGATAGAATAATGCGTACGGCATGGGCCGGCTAATATAAGAAGCAATAACATGCGTTACGAGCAAACATTACCTGTACATTACACATATTAATATGCCGGTTAACGGCTCACAGCAGCGGACGACAGCAAATTGAACACAGTTTCAATCCAAGCTGCGCGCTAATTAATAGGCGGCGAGAAACTGGATCCTGCACATGCACAAATAATAATGCGTTCGAGACAACAACACGGGCCGGGAAATGTAACAAATGTTTCCACGTTTGAACCGCTGCGGTTCTTGCGGAATTCAACCTGCTGTTGCGCGCGATCTGCTGCTCAATTATGATTATGAAGAGCTGCTTAATGCTTAATGTGACAACCTGCACAGGCTGCACTGAACAAACCACACAACAGCGGTTATCTATCCAAATGCAACGGGGGAAACGCGATATGTGTCATGGGTACGATCCCCGAGCAGGATCGCACTGAAGAAGTGTTTTTGTTATGAATTTTATTTTAGTACTCAGTATGATGTACTTGTATGTGGTGCTTATTAAAAGTGTTAAACCATTGTAAACCACACAACTTCTTCCTACATCAACAACCAATCGATACGTTCGTGCAAATTCAGTTATGTACTCGTGCACCGGTAATTATTATTAGATTTGTACAGCTGCTTCCTGGAGTGGTTGGTGACTTGGTGTTTGTCGCCGTGGGAAAAAGCGGGCTTTCCATTGTACGCCAGTTTCCCATGACAGCGGCGCCGGCGGCGGTTGACATTAACTGTCAAGCTTAGCCTGCCGGCCGCTGCCGGCTGCGCTGTACTATTGGCAACTGCTGCACGTTTTATACGGTGCCTACACACGCGGGCCGTCCGTACGCGTTCGCAGAGGTCTACCGATGTACCAGTACCACAGTTTAATATAATCGCCTGTTTTATTTTCGCCGACTGTCCCGGCTGACCGTGAAACCAGTGCGTCCTAATTGACACACTGAAATGTGCCTGTCTCTCTACAATAACCTTTAACAAGTATCGGAATCGGGTACAAACTCAGTACCAGAAACAAAATAATTGTTATAACAGAAACACTTCCTCTATGCTATCCTGGTCGGGGATCGTATCCGTTACACAAATCGCGTTTCCCCGTTGTATTGGAATAGATAATCGCTGCCTAAATCTCTCTAGTCTCTAGTGCCGATTTGCCGGATGATATACAGATACAAAAACTAATGACGCATATACCTTTGTTATATGTATATACGTACAAACAATTTCTGTCATGACTTATTTCTAATCTCTTAACTTTGGGAGATGGGAAATATTGTCCTCCTGAACCAATTATCGTTTGGGCGCCCTCTGCTACGCATTACGCGTACAAGCACCGCAAATCATCACCGGAAACCGGTATCGGTTTACAACCCAAAGAGGAATGTGCCCGTGCCAAGCCAGCAAGAACAAAAAAAGACACTTACTCGTCGCTCCATCCCCGGAACAGCTCCAGCTCCTTGACGAAGCGGTCCCGCGTGCGGTGCAGCTGCGACTCGATCCTGCGCAGCCGGATCAGCACCAGCACTGCTCCCTCAAACTGCAAAATTAATTCAGCAATTAAACTTTGCACTTATAAATAATAAAACATTAATTCAAGAAAATGAATAAAATTAAAAAAAACGTCCCGTACTTGTACCGCATTTACGTACCGTCAGATTGGCCGACTCCTTGGAGGCGATGCCGGTGCGACCGGTATCCCACGCACTACCGTACAGCGCCGGCACACTGGCCCCCGTCAGCGTCATGCTCAAACTGGTCGGGCGGACGCCGTCCTTGTCGCTGGCCGGCTTCACTGCACTCTTGACGCTGGCGACCGGAACCGCGACCGGCTGGCTCACCACTTCCACGCGCCGCCCACCGCCCCCGTCCGCCGCGCGCTTGCTCACCGTCTCCCGCATCACCACCCGCTCCACCACCGGCTCCCGTTTCACCACGGAGGAACGCGCGCTGGAGGTGGACGGCGAGGGCGGCTGGGCGCGGCGCACCACCACCGGGCTCTCGCTCCTCCGGGTCCGCACCGGGGAGGCGTCCCGGCACTTCTCGGGTTTGACTACTTCCGTCGGTCGTGTACGCGAGGGGGACAGGGAGAGTCCCGGGCGCTTGGAGCGGGGCGCCGGCTGCGGCGGGAGGTCAGCGGCGCTGGACGGTTTGGTGCGGGAGGTGCGCGACGACACCGTGGCGCTCTTGGCGTCCCGCTCCTTCTTCCCGGCAGCGGGCTTGGGCGGCGGGCGTTTCTCCGGCTTATCATTCCAGTCCCAGGGGAAGATGGAGAAGCCTTTTTTCTTGGGCTTGGACGGTCGATCCATCATGCGAGATTGAGCAATTACAAGCAAGAGGGCGTTAATGAAGGGAGATGCGTATAGAGATTGCTACGAGCGGATCCGTGCAATTGATCGGTGTGTCGTGTAAACTTGACACCGAGTGGGAAGTGGCCGAGTCAGATGCCGAGTGGCGCTTGTTGCTGGCAATCCGTCAGTCAAGCTGCGCCGTCGAGTGGCGGAGAAATACGATGAAAATACCAGTTTTCTCGCCGTTTCCGGCATCCGCGTGGCCGGCACCGGCAATGACGGTCTGTATTTATTCAGCGCTCATGCAACAGCGGCCGTCTTCCGTACCATGGCGTATAATACAACTGGCCGGCTAGTCAACAGTGCACGCAGCGGTCATGTCGCTTAAATCAACACCGACGCCCACCATCACTCGCGGGACAAGATTTCGCAACACCCACTACGTGTAAATCACGCCTGTACACGCTGTAAATCACGGTGCACCGGCATTTATCGCTGCTTGTTCTTCCGCCGGGATCAACACGAAAGCATGCGGGGAGGGCGCTGATAAGGTGGGACAGCGATGCCGGTTGTTTGCGTTAACGGGAGATGGCTGGCGGAAATGCGCGAGAAGCAAACAGCCGCGCTGACAGTGTACACGGTGTGCCGGCCAAATTACACGAATCCGCAGAATTCGAAACAATATATCAAATTACCGCTGCCGGTGTGCAGACTTTTACGACGCGTACCGGCTCCAATCTGTAAATGGCCGTTATCAAAATTACGGCAATGTAATCCGGTGTGTGCGGATGTGTCATAGAGTGTTTTATGGTTGAGTGTGTATTATGATTGTGTATATAGCGACAGCATGCAGCGCGGAAGATGTGGCGGCGGAGGTGTGAAATAAACGGCGATTCAGCCGAGCAAACATGTGCTGCGCCGCTGCATTCATAACGCTCATAACCGGCCAACACGCACAGCGGCGGGGTCATCTGCCGCGGGTCGCTCGCGGCGTCCGCAGTTTACCGTTTTCCTCGACACTAAATAACGTGTAAGCACACACAAATAATATGTACACACTCTGCTGTTGAGATAACATAGTTCCAGTTGTTTGCAGGTAAACTTCCGTGTAAACTGGCTGCTTATCTGTACGGTGTACCTGTAGTACTCGTGTTAGTCTAGCTAAACAATAATATGCTAGCAGCCTAATTTGTTTATGCTCTTGGGTGCAGGTATTCACCAGTTAAATAATAATTAGCACAAAAAAGGGACGGCTGCAATAACTGTACCGAGTAGCATGTGAGACGACTAGTAATGGGTAATCGGCCAGTCCGTCCGCGGTTCAAAAAATTTATAATAACTATAACGAAGTTAACAACTGTGAACAGGCGCATAAGTCGCCAGCGTGGGCTCGAGCAAAGAAGCGCTGCTTGCGCTGTATGCAGTTTTGTATCCTACATAGATTATTAATCGGTACTGTAGAAGTAGAGTGTTTAATGTTTATCACGTGACTGACCGTGTTCCAGTGGACGACGCAGAGGAGCATGTACTGGAAGAAAGTGGCCGCCACGCAATCCACGTTCAGCGTCCATCCGGACTGCGGCCAGAAGATGGCGGCATTGTGGTAGAAGGCCACAAAGGTCAGGTTGACGATTTCGACGAGGAGCAGGTGGAGGATGAGGAGGTTGGTGCCTTCCCACCGCTCCGGCTTCGTGCTCAGCGCCGCCACGAGCAGGATGCCGGCCACGGCGCCCACGACGCAGGTGGCGCTGGACACCGCAAACCAGATGACCAGAGCTGCCGGGGCGGTGATGATGATGGCGTGAGCTGTGGCGTTGTCCATGGCTAGTGATTCGTCCTGCGGAAATCCCTGCGATAAATTCGGCATATTTGTTAATAAAACTATCTAAGGCCGCGTGGCAGACATTTACTCGACCCGTGTGATCTGCAGTATCGATGCAGGCGCACACACTACGTACGTTGAATGCAGAGCTCGTCGTAGTCACTTTATACGGGCATCTGCGGGAGGTGAAATATATATAACGCAGCAGGGTATTGCATTGTCGTCGATAGTGCATTATGAGGCGTTATTAAATTATTGACTTTTTCAGGGTGACTTGCTCCGAGTAGGTATAGCTCGCCTGCATGTGCTGACTGACTGGAATACCAGCGTTCACGTTTTCCCAGTAGCATACTTGCTCTTATCCAGGCCAATATCGCTGATACCGCGGTACTCTTATCACTCTGTATTCCACAAGAATTCCAAGATTGCTTAACAGTGCCTACTGCCTAGCTAATTCCCATCGTCCGCAGTTTTTCGGCGTCCACGATAAGATTAGCTCTTGTGTTGTGGTGTTGGCGCGGATATGCACTGATGCAAGACTGCAAGTACACTCCCGCGCAAGAAAGCTGGCGGGTCACGCATGACTCTTACCGTACACTTGCAGTCTTGCAGTGAGCACACAATAACTCCACACCAGTTATGCTGTTATTTCCAGCCGCAGCCGTTGGACGTCCTGATAATAGGCAGAATTTTTATATGAGCTGGGCGGTTCCCAATCACCCGATGGACAGAATGGAGTACTTCTACTGCATTTACCCAGGTTTAAGAACGCTCGAGGCCGGCGGTCGCCGACGGTCCGTGGGCGCTGGCCCCGGCTCCATCATCACCATGTACCTCAAAACTGTGAAAATACAGTCACGGCACGACAGCACAAAAAAACGCCACTGTCTGGTGCGCTGCGGCAAGTGGGGATAAATGGGGATTCTGTTTCTCTGTGCTTTCCATTCTTTCGCACTCCGCATGCAGGACTTGCCCATTTGCCTAGTAATACTTTGGCATATTAATTTTTTGCTCACACTCTTCATAAGAATATTCTGAGACAGTAACTGGAGTCTGGTTTTACAATTTTAACGAGAAAGAACGCCTGGACTGTGAAGACACCAGCAGGATGAAGCGAACGACATGGTCCCCTTCCTCGCCTTCTGGAGGCAGTTACTTACGCTACTTACAGACGACTGCGTTACTGCACTAGCTAGACTCGAAAGGCACTTTAAATGCGTTCTGTACGATACAGAGCCGGAAGTTCTGTAATTTTTCGATCACACCCCCCTACCTCTGATTGGACGGCCGAGTTAAAGTGTTCTGTATCTAAAAGGAACTCTCCTAGCTCCGTTACGATACAGAACTCGCATTTCTTGCTACGTCAAAGTTATTTTAGATGTGGGTGCACAGTCCGCTGTACGTCCAAGTCCTATTTTTAATTTTCAAGTTTTGAGGGTGTAATTAAAGGGAGTTTAATTGTTTCTATCGAATCAACATTCCAGTTCTGCTGTGTTCACTGATTTTAGCTGCCTCCGACTGTGCATGTTTGAATTTGTATCGTGGCAACAAGCAGCTTCGCCATAGCCGTCAGCGCGAGGAATACCTCAGCGTACTTTACATGCAATGGCCTTTCGCTTCTTCACCAGTCGTTTGATTTCTTAACTTAACAAAACTTCAGATCGCCAGAAAAACAGAAAGGAAACTGCCACAAAATTGTTGTGAAAATGAATAAATCGTTGACCAATTCAACTGCGGTAACTGGGCGCTTTTAGAAACCGTGGTCTCGTTGCTCTGTAACGCTCTATAAGATTCAGCGCTGTACCATTGGTAGATTCACTTTTACAGAACTCCCGGCTCTGTATCTTACAGAACACATTTAAAGTCCGTTTCGAGTAGTACTACTATTGGTCAATGAGCCAGTTACAACTCACACAGTCAAAGTTCCTCAGTTTCTGTTTTCATTTTTCTTCTTGATGACTTTGATTTGTTGCTGTTGTACTGTGTATTTCTCAACTTCATCTCTCTGAATTCGATCCGTGTCAGCAGTGCCGTTATTCTCCTGGAAATGTCGTCCGGGTCGCGCTTCGACGAGCCCGAGGAGTGCAGTGTGGCGAACGTGGCGGTGCTGAACAAGTACAAATCAGCCGGACAAATCGCCAACAGTAAGTGTGCGGACTTGACTGCATCTGGTGCATTTGTGATGGTCCATCCCCGAGACGCATCGCCGCTCAAGTATGCTGACTGCAGTTGGGCTGAGATGTGTGGTCTGGTCTGTGCGGGTGCTGCTTGGAGGCGACTGTTGGCGAAGCAGACGACTGACGGAATCCTCTCCTCTTTTTGCAGGGATCGCGCTGTGGATTGCAGGCAAATGCATTCCTGACGCGGCAGTGGTAGTCCTATGCGAATTGTCGGATAGAGGCATTGTGCGCGAGACGGCGAAGGTTTTCCAGGAGGAGGCGATGCGCAAAGGTTGGAGCTGGCTCGCTGCATGTTTGGCCTTGTCATTGGCGCGTTGAGTACTTGATGAAGTGCAGTGTCCTTGACGACAGGTGTGGCCTTCCCCACGTGCATCAGCGTCAACAACTACGTCGCGTACTATTCGCCGACGGCGCAGGAGGCCAGCATGGGGGAAGGTGTTCTTCTTCAAGACGGAGACCTTGTTAAAATGTGGGGAAGTGCTTCTTCGCAGTTTGATTGATGACTGAGCAGTGAGCACTGCTTTCTTCCTGCAGTGATTTGGCCGTGCACATCGACGGATACATCGCTAGCGTCGGATATTCCTGCGTAGTGGGCGCCTCGCAGGTACATTCCTGATTTCTGCTGCGCCTTGTATCACTTGTATGTGCTGAGCCCGTTTTGTTCCGCTCTACGTTGGCAGCGTAAGCACTCCTGCCTCCTTTGGTTATTTTACTGTATCTGCACAAGGTTAAGTATCTATTACCGCTTCTTTAAAATTTATTTGATGAAAACTGAGTAATTTCCTGTTATGTAATTGGAGTTCTTTTGATTTAAAATTTGGCGATGTTAGATATGATTATATGGGAATTTATTTATTGTGTCATTACAAGGACAAATTGTTCTAGAATGCTGTTGCTCTGGTCCGTTTATTGACTGACAAGTGTTCACTGGATAGGAAAATAAGGGAACCGCGATCGGCTTTAGTTGCGCTTAAGAGTGTGGCTGTATTAACCTCGGCTTGGGGGGTTTTTAAGAAGTGATGTGTAAAACGCGTGTGTGACTGCAGGAGAAGCCCGTGAGCGGACGGAAGGCGGACGGGATGTGGGCTGCGCAGACTGCCCTGAAGGCCTCCATGCGGCTGATCAAACCCGGCGTTACTGTGCGTGCCTCGCTTGCTGTTAATGTACTGCCTAGCGCACTGATCATACTTTTGCAGAATTATCAAGTGACGGCGCTGACCAAAGCGGTGATCACGGCCTACGGATGCCAGCCCATCGAGGGCACTGTCTCCCACCAGCTGCTGCGCAACCAGCTCGAGGCCGAGAAGAGCATCATTCAGAATCCCAACCAGGCCCACAAGTGCGTAAGAGCTAATTGTTTCCTGCAGTTTCTCCGCGCTGTTTTCATCATACCAGGCCGTGCACTTTCCTCTGTTTTGCTGTGTTTTGCTTGCTGAAGCGTGTGTCCTTGTGTGGTTGGGGTAGGCGAAAGTACAAGAAGACGGAATTCGAGGAGAACGAAGTGTACGCGGTGGATGTCTTGGCGAGCACGGGCGACGGGAAGCCCACGAAAAGCCCTGCGTACACGACTATTTTCCGCAAATTGGACGTCTCTGACCGGCCTCGCAACAAGACGCAACGGGGTACAACTGCATTTTATTTAAAATAGGTTTCCGTTATAGTGGGTTGCAGTTTTGTTGATTTTGTATGTTATGGGCTGTTTAGCCATGCTTGCGGAGGCGAGTACCCAGTACGACACGATGGCTTTCCACGTGCGCAACTTGGGAGAGGAGTGGCAAGTATCGCGCAACACCCACGCCTGCATCAACGCCGGCCTGCTGAAAGGCTACCCAGTGCTGACCGAGAAGACCGGCGATCTTGTTGCGCAGTGCAAAGGCACCGTGGCCGTCACCGCCACCGGTGTCGAGGTCATTTCCGGCCTGCTGGTGCTGACAGCCGACAAATGCCAGTCCGATCACGCTTTCCCCTTGTCTGAAATGGAGGTGCGGTAGCATGCATACACTTCGCTGGTACGCGTTGCGGTAGTCTGATGGACAGTGTTTAACAGAGGGCGCAGAACAACCGCATCGAGACCAACAAGAAGAATGGGCAGCTAACCCAGTAAGTGGTTTGTGGCAGTTTAATTCGAATAATTTGTGACTCGGGAGAGTATTTACGTCAGAGAACGAGTACTGGGATTCCAAGAGGAAATGCAGTGTCAGTACTCGCAACGGTTGATGATAAGGGAGAGAGTGAAGAGGGTGGGTTTTGTGTTAACCGGCGGATCGTGAGTGCTGGCTTTGTAGTTTAAATCTATCGTGATGATAGCTAGTTGTGTTATGTGTACCTAGTGGGGAAATGCGTACTTGTGCATTAAATACTGTAGTAGTGAGTGTTAACCTATCGTGAATGGATGAAGTCGCATAGAATCTATGCAGTGCCATTGGAAAAACAGTATGTAATCCACCTCAGCGGTTGTGGTGCAGCGTTCGCCAATCTGTCCTGAGTACTGTACTGACTGAGGCTGTGTTTCTGCGTGCAGGCCAAAGGCCGAACCAGGGCAAGATGCGGTGTCGTCTCTGGAGGAAATGGTGGTGACCGTAACGATGCCGCCCAATGCGGTCCGCCGAGGACGACCGAAAAAGGCGATCAAGCGGCTGACTACGGCCAAATGCCGCTTTGTTTTGCCTTCTGCCAAGCGATGCGGAAGGTATTCCAAGAAGGAGAAAAGGCAGGCCGTCGTTGTCTTGCGACAGTATCCGGGTGCCGCGGGGAGGATTGCCAACCGCTTGCGCGTGGACCGCCACACGCTGTTGGAGTGGAACCGTACGCAGGACTGCGACGAAACTTGAGTGTTACTGCGATGTCAGATAGCGTAAAGCTGTTGGCGGTAGAATAAAGCAGACTGATGATTCTTGGCGATAACTACAGCTTGTGTCAATTCAGCGGCTACAAATCTGAAGGCATTGTAGCAGAATCATTTTACCGTCGCACCACAATTTTCGTCATTACCTTGAAATACTGTTTCCGACCAATAAATCAATGAACATGTAGAAAATCAGCCACCGCTAAACATACCTGGACGCACGGGCCGCCTCCGGTCCTTCCAACTTCACTGTAACCATCAAACGACAACTACTAGGATAACATGTATTTGCTAAAATTAATTGTATTATTAGTTGTGGTTTTTGCTGTGCACACTGCACAGCACTGCCACGGTCTGAAGCAGCTGTTGTCGCCCTTTTCTGACCGGACACCCGCTGCCATCCAGTGGCCCATCCCATCTGCCCGCTATTTCGAAATTCGATTAAGCATTTCGGTAAGTACCGCCACGGCGAGGGCGGGACGCACTTCTACCCTCCCATGTGGCATCCCAGGCCAGTATACAGTGGCCAGCCTTACCCATTTACGGGCGAAAACCTGCTTTTGCACTTGTACGAACATTTGCGTGGATTTGTATTTCATTAAGATTTATTCTGTCGAACGTTGCAGGTTGGTGTACATAGGTAAGGGAATGTCATGTACAGTGCCAGGTACAGTAAATTGCCAGCTCGCAGCTCTTAACGGAAATTATAGATATATATAGACATTTATAGATATACATAGATATAGATATATACAACATATGTAACCGGCGTATATAGATATACAACATATATACCCGTATATAGATGTAGATATATAACATATGCACCAGATAAGCAACGCGAGAACGGCTCCGTCGAGTACACCGGCACCACCGACCTCAACCAGTTCACGCTGGCCAACAATTACACCGACAACAAGCCCGACAAGTATCCCGACGGTCAGTGCTGTAACCAGCCGCCCCCGGGCACCAGTAGGCAGAGAAATCAGTGTGGCCTCGGGCCCTCGACAGGTCTGCTTCCAGCGCAACTTCGGCTATCATCTCATACAGACCTACCTGCCCACCGTCCTCATCGTCACCATCTCCTGGGTCAGCTTCTTCCTGGAGGCCGGCGCCGTGCCCGTCCGCGTCTCCCTCGGCATCACCACCTTCCTCACCATGATCACGCGCAACAGCGGCGCCAAAGTCGGCCTGCAGCCCGGCTCCTACGTCAAGGTAGCCTTCTGCACGGGCAGTATAGAAGTATAAATATAGGCTAGGTAGTTACCTAATACTCATAATCATCCTCATACAGTATTTGTAATTAATAATTAAAGCAATTGTAACTGTTGTAATTACAGTAATTTACAAACACATATTTCGTAGAAAACGCGATAGATTTTAAGCAAATAAATCAGCATTCATAATATTGCAACCCTGTTGCTTCTCGTTATCGGCCATTACTCGTGTAATGTAGTGCAGTGGCTACGCGCCCTTGCGCGTAGCAACATTTACATATTTGTGACCTGTACTGGATGGGATATTCTGTAGGGTTCTTGGTTATTATATTAATTTAGTATCTGTTCGGCCAGTACACAGAAGCCCAATAAAACCGGTGCTTCAATACGTGACAACTCGCATCGGACAACACTGGCTTTCTGTCTGCATTTCGTTACAATAACTGACTACAACGGTTGGCAATAAACACCAGCAAACGAGCAACCAGCAGCACAATACTGCACACAAATCTCCCCTTCATTAGATCAATAAATCCCATTATTAAATTAATCAGTCATTTTCCCATTAATAAATCAGCAAAATGACTAGCTAGCTGAAGCGGGGATGACGTGGCTCTTCTGAGGGCCTTCTGGCGCTGCTTCTTCTGCTTGGCCTCCTTGCGCTTGTCCTGCCGCTCCTCCTGCAGTCCTGCTCCTCGTGCACGTGCCCCGTCCGCTTCGTCCATTAGCAGCACCTTGCGCTTCGCTGCAACCATTCGCCAATCAATTTATTAATCAATAATTAAATAAAAATTCGGTTGTATTTGTTGATAGAATAAAATGAAAACTCATCTTTGAAACGTTTCTAAATTATTTCTAAGAAAGCAGTGAAAAGTTGACCGAGAAATCACACAAAAATTACGTGCTGGTGCAATATTTGCTTTTCAGTAAAAATTTTACATCTTTTAACCATACAATCAGAAAACTATTAAAAATTGGAAAACAATCACGGGGACATCGCAAGAAACTCCTTAAGAAAACTCATAAAAATTCAGTAGAAATGAATGGCATCAAAGAGAAACTAAGCAAATCGCCAAAACCGTTCGATATCGTATAAAGAATCGTTAACAATCAATAAAAATGAAAAAAGTGCGGAAAATTCTTCCTTACTGACAGACAATGCGCTGGTTGTCGCGGAAGCGCATGCGGACGTTCTGGATGCGCTTGACCACCTGCTTGTTGTAGAGGATCGGGCCGATCTCCGTCCAGACGCTGAGCACGCTGCCGGTGAGCACGCTCATCAGTCGGCGCCGCTGGCCGACGTCGCAGCCGGCGCGGTTGGCGCGCGGCCACTGCCCGGTCCAGTAGGCGTGCACGCAGCGCTTGCCCATGCTGCTGAACATGGCCTCCCACACCGGCCGCGCCTCCTCCGCCGCCACCAGCCGCCCCTTGCGCTGCACCTCCTCCAGCGCGTCCCAGCGCAGCTGCATCCCGCTGTGCGGCCGGTAGATGCAGTAGGGCCGCTGCCCCGGGCGGTGTCACCGCCGCCCTTCACCACCGCCATCCACACCGTCTGCTTCCCGGACAGCACCTGCAACACCGCAAAATCCATGAGTAAATCAGAAATAATCCCTCCAAGGTCATATAGAACTGATTGAAAACCGCCGGCCTGAATCGGGACATACCTGTTTGGAAATGTAGAAGCCGCTGCTGGCGTCGTCGTACTCGTTGAGGATCTCCTGGGCGTCCTCGAAGGACAGGCCGCGCTCCCCGGAGATGGAGTAGAGGAAGGCCGGCGGCGCGCTCCACGCCGTCTTCCCGACGAAGGTCAGCTTCTTCTCCGGCACCACTTCCGTGCTGCCGAAACCTGCCATCAACAGCCCGCGTTCATTTCTAACGTATTTATTCTCATAACTATGAATATTTGCCATGAATTCCTTTAATAATTCGCAGCGAACGGTGATTGTGCCGAATAATGAATTACCCATTTCCAGGATGCCCATCTCGAAGCAGCCCTCTCGCTTCGCCGTGTCAATCAGCCGGTCCATCGTGTAGGAGAAGCAGTCGAAGATGGCGTTCTGCATCTCCACTTTCATGCCCAGCAGCCGGTACAGGAATCTATCCATCGCCAAATTATCTGCACAAATTAATTCGTTGCATTATCAGCGCCGTAATTTGCTCCGAGATTAGTTATCTATTAATGGATTTTCAGGTGTTCGCTTATTGATTTATCCATTATTTGTTGGCGAATTCGCCGCACAAGAGGACTGTCCATTGTCAAACTAGCACTTGTGAAGAAAACCGTAGAAACTTATGCATTTTGCAACTAATTATGATAAAAACCTACGAAATTTTGATCTATTTCGCATGTACTTGCAAAGGGTACCTGCGAATTGATGCGCATTTCATGAAATTATGAAGTAAACAATAGAAATTTGTGCATTCTGCATCTAATTATGATGAATACCTACGAAATTGTGATCTATTTCGCATGTACTTGCAAAGGGTACCTGCGAATTGATGCGCATTTCATGAAATTATGAAGTAAACAATAGAAATTTGTGCATTCTGCATCTAATTATGATGAATACCTACGAAATTGTGATCTATTTCGCATGTACTTGCAAAGGGTACCTGCGAATTGATGCGCATTTCATGAAATTATGAAGTAAACAATAGAAATTTGTGCATTCTGCATCTAATTATGATGAATACCTACGAAATTGTGATCTATTTCGCATGTACTTGCAAAGGGTACCTGCGAATTGATGCGCATTTCATGAAATTATGAAGTAAACAATAGAAATTTGTGCATTCTGCATCTAATTATGATAAAAACCTACGAAATTTTGATCTATTTCGCATGTACTTGCAAAGGGTACCTGCGAATTGATGCGCATTTCATGAAATTATGAAGTAAACAATAGAAATTTGTGCATTCTGCATCTAATTATGATGAATACCTACGAAATTGTGATCTATTTCGCATGTACTTGCAAAGGGTACCTGCGAATTGATGCGCATTTCATGAAATTATGAAGTAAACAATAGAAATTTGTGCATTCTGCATCTAATTATGATGAATACCTACGAAATTGTGATCTATTTCGCATGTACTTGCAAAGGGTACCTGCGAATTGATGCGCATTTCATGAAATTATGAAGTAAACAATAGAAATTTGTGCATTTTGCATCTAATTATGATAAAACCTACGAAATTTTGATCTATTTCGCATGTACTTGCAAAGGGTACCTGCGAATTGATGCGCATTTCATGAAATTATGAAGTAAACAATAGAAATTTGTGCATTCTGCATCTAATTATGATGAATACCTACGAAATTGTGATCTATTTCGCATGTACTTGCAAAGGGTACCTGCAGATTGATGCGCATTTCATGAAATTATGAAGTAAACAATAGAAATTTGTGCATTCTGCATCTAATTATGATGAATACCTACGAAATTGTGATCTATTTCGCATGTACTTGCAAAGGGTACCTGCGAATTGATGCACATTTCATGAAATTATGAAGTAAACAATAGAAATTTGTGCATTCTGCATCTAATTATGATAAAAACCTACGAAATTTTGATCTATTTCGCATGTACTTGCAAAGGGTACCTGCGAATTGATGCGCATTTCATGAAATTATGAAGTAAACAATAGAAATTTGTGCATTCTGCATCTAATTATGATGAATACCTACGAAATTGTGATCTATTTTCGCATGTACTTGCAAAGGGTACCTGCGAATTGATGCGCATTTCATGAAATTATGAAGTAAACAATAGAAATTTGTGCATTCTGCATCTAATTATGATGAATACCTACGAAATTGTGATCTATTTCGCATGTACTTGCAAAGGGTACCTGCGAGAATTGATGCGCATTTCATGAAATTATGAAGTAAACAATAGAAATTTGTGCATTCTGCATCTAATTATGATGAATACCTACGAAATTGTGATCTATTTCGCATGTACTTGCAAAGGGTACCTGCAGAATTGATGCGCATTTCATGAAATTATGAAGTAAACAATAGAAATTTGTGCATTCTGCATCTAATTATGATGAATACCTACGAAATTGTGATCTATTTCGCATGTACTTGCAAAGGGTACCTGCAGAATTGATGCGCATTTCATGAAATTATGAAGTAAACAATAGAAATTTGTGCATTTTGCATCTAATTATGATGAATACCTGCGAAATTTTGATCTATTTCGCATGTACTTGCAAAGGGTACCTGCGAATTGATGCGCATTTCATGAAATTATGAAGTAAACAATAGAAATTTGTGCATTTTGCATCTAATTATGATGAATACCTGCGAAATTTTGATCTATTTCGCATGTACTTGCAAAGGGTACCTGCGAATTGATGCGCATTTCATGAAATTATGAAGTAAACAATAGAAATTTGTGCATTCTGCATCTAATTATGATCAATACCTACGAAATTTTGATCTATTTCGCATGTACTTGCAAAGGGTACCTGCGAATTAATGCGCATTTCATGAAATTATGAAGTAAACAATAGAAATTTGTGCATTTTGCATCTAATTATGATGAATACCTACGAAATTCTGATCTATTTCGCATGTACTTGCAAAGGGTACCTGCGAATTGATGCGCATTTCATGAAATTATGAAGTAAACAATAGAAATTTGTGCATTCTGCATCTAATTATGATGAATACCTACGAAATTGTGATCTATTTCGCATGTACTTGCAAAGGGTACCTGCGAATTGATGCGCATTTCATGAAATTATGAAGTAAACAATAGAAATTTGTGCATTCTGCATCTAATTATGATGAATACCTACGAAATTGTGATCTATTTCGCATGTACTTGCAAAGGGTACCTGCGAATTGATGCGCATTTCATGAAATTATGAAGTAAACAACAGAAATTTGTGCATTCTGCATCTAATTATGATGAATACCTACGAAATTGTGATCTATTTCGCATGTACTTGCAAAGGGTACCTGCGAATTGATGCGCATTTCATGAAATTATGAAGTCAACAATAGAAATTTGTGCATTCTGCATCTAATTATGATGAATACCTACGAAATTGTGATCTATTTCGCATGTACTTGCAAAGGGTACCTGCGAATTGATGCGCATTTCATGTGATTACGAAGAAAACAATATAAATTTATGCATTTTGCTTCTAATTACGATGAATACCAACGAAATTTTCATCTATTTCGCATGTACTTTCAAAGGGTACTTGCGAATTTCGCACTTCACAATTTATCTCCGCGATTACATATTTTCATTATTGAACTCATCGCTGCATATTATACGAGTACTAACTATATGTATAACTACTGTATGTCCATTTGCTCTACGATAATGGCCAGTTACGGCTTAATCCAATAAGTAAATGCCGCAAAAGAGAAAGGACTGAGTTACAGTACTTAACTATTTCGTCGGCAATTAAAATATCCCGAAATCCGCAAAATATTCGAGTTAATACGAGTAAACTGAATTCGTAAACAAATCAAGATAAATTCGAATAACATATTTCTCATTCAGCACCCGCTGAGGCGATAACGCACCTTTTTCCAGTCGGGGTCGGCGACCCTCCTCCTGCACCAGGAAGCCGGCATCCAGCAGCGCCTTGGGCGCCTCCTTGAAGAACTTGTTCCCCATGTTCTCCTTGTCCCACTCCGTCAGCCACTCCATCCCGGCCGTCTTGCGCAGCACCATCTCCACCGCCTGTCGCCCGTACTTGTTGTCGATATTGAACACCGACAGATCCCGTGAATCCGTCGCCCGCCGATATCCATGCGTCAACGCCCCCAGACTCTCCAGTCGCCGCGCCACCGCCGCCGCGAACCGCTTCTCGCCGGCCAGATCCGTGATTAAAAAGACATATTCCGGAGCGCTGACCTAATTTAAAGAGAAAAAATCGTGAATAATTCAAAAGCAACTAAATAATCCATTTTATTTTAAACAACTGAAGTCAATGAATAAATAAAATAAAATTCGCTTAACTTCGTAAGTAAACCAACCTCAATAAACCAGTACATTCAGTTGGATTCAAATAAAAAAAACGAAGGAAAATCAGCAAATTTCATCAAACTAAAATACAGATAACCGCTGACCAAAACGAGAACAACTTAAATCTGTCAATGAACTTGATTCTGATCTGCTGAATTTTACTAGAAAAAATGATGATGAATTGTCAGACCTGGTTGCTGCGGTGCGTCCGTCCGAACTGCTGCACGGCCTTGTCGGCGGACCAGGGCAACTCCAGCGTGATGTGCACGCGCCGGCGCTGGTTGAGCGCGCGCCGGTCGGCCTGCAGCGAGATGCCGGAGCTGGCCGCCTCGCTGATGATGGCGAGGAGTTTGTGGCCGTCCATGAAGCGCTGCTTCTCCGCCAGGTTCAGCATCTCCAGCGCCACGTCCGACTCGTTGCGCGCCTCGTACTGCACGCCGCCGCCCTCGGTGGCCACCACGCGCCCCTTCCGCCCCGTCATCTCCGCCACCACTTCCGGCCCGCCCAGCTGGTCGATCAGGTCGTCCAGCGTGTTGGGCGGCAGCCGGTCCGACACGTCTGCGAATTTGTCCAGCACGTCCTGCTTCAGTTTCCACGCGCGATCCTGCAGTTCCCGCGACGACAGCCCGTCTACAAGCGCACCATGACATAAATAGTTATTCAATCCGGTAGTGAGATATTCAGTTATTCAATCAAAATATTTACCTGCTTCTTAAATCACTTCTATCAGTTCTATGGCACATCAGTTTTTAATAAGTGATCAGTAATGCGATTTACTGTTTAATAATAAGAAAACAGCAGCAATATTATTATCCATTATTCATGATCATATAACAATAATCATTAACTCGACAAAGCAAACAACGTTCAACCTGGCGGCGGCACAGCCTGTGCACCACCCTCATCGTCCACTTTCCCCTTGTCGGCGGTGCTGCCCTTCTTCCGCTGCTGCTTTTTCGCTTTTCTCTTCGTTTCCAGCAGCCTCACCCATGGGTCTACAATTAATTTTACTTTTGTACATGAATCTGCAGTTTCTTTAGCACATCTGCAAAATTTATAAAATTTAATAACTATTTTCGAAATTTTTCAAGTTTATTTATTCTTTTTTCATCAAACTAAAATACAGATAACCGCTGACCAAAATTTGAACAAATTTGCGATTTTTACCATCTGTATACACTACAGAAATCATCGATTTTTCCCGTATTCCTGTTGGTTCACATACACCGAGGATATGTTATTCGTAAAACAAATAATCTGCATTTTTCACAGTTTTTTTAAGCAAATGGGCAGCTACACCGGATTGCCAACGTACTGCCTTCGTCGCTGTAGAGGGACTCCTCCGAGCCGGATCCCGAGCCCGAGGCCTCGCCGCTGGCCGGGTCGTCCTCCTCCGCCTCGTTGCCGCTCTCCTCGGCCGACGAGCTGCTCTCGCTGGGCACGAAATCCGACGCATCCGACTCCTCCTCCTCGTCGCTCGTGCCGGATTTACGCTTCTTCGCCTGCTTTTTGTACGCATTGACCGTCCGGGACTTCTTCCGCTTCTTCCCGTTCCCGTTGGCGCTGTCGGCTCCGGTCTTGCTACTGTTGGCAGCGACTATTTTGTGGTTGACGGAGGCCGCCGCCATGGCAGCCGCCCGCGATGCGCGCCCGCAAGAGGACGGCTGCGCTGCTGGCCCGGGCCGATCGTCGTCGCTCTCCTCATCCTTAGAGTCGTCGTCGTCGTCCTCAAACTCCGACATACCGGGCAGTTTGTATGACTCTACCACTGTGCGATTTCGCCGCTCTGTTAAAGAAAATACATTTACTTTACTCGAGCACGGTTGTGATGTTTCAAGTTTTTATATCATATACACAGCTAACTGATAACCCTGTGATATTTTCCGTTGGTACAAGAACTGCACCCACGAATGTTTCACAACTGCATGCAACTACAGTACATTTCATATCCATCAGATGTATTTGTGATCAGTGATACAATGTTAATACGGGGATAAGCGATCAATGTACAAAGAGAGGACATATTTAACTAGATGGACCTACTGGGACGGCGTTTGGCGTTGCCGGACAGCAGCGCATCGGGCTCCACATCCAGCGCGTCGTCCATGGCGTCCTCCAGCAGGTCGGCCATGCCCACCGTTTCCAGGGCCTTGCGCCGGTCGAAGGCCGGAAAGTGCTTCTCCACCAACGACCCGAACACCGCTCTGCAACAGGATTCAGATCGATACGCCGAATGTTTCACAAACATAATGTTTCCATGCAGAAGCACGTACTTGGCCGTGGAGACGAACTCGGTGAGGTCACCGCGTTTCTCCTCCAGCACCTCCAGGGTGCGCGCCTCCCCCGTCGACTGCAGTCCGATCACCACGCACTACGCAAACAAGGGATTACGGTTAATTGATTCCAGTGAAAATAGTTAGGAAAAAGCCGTGTAAATGCTTTGTAGTTTGTGCATAGATAAAAACAGGAGAAACAGCAATGTTTTGCAACAACAGAATATCAGTAACAGGAAAGTAAAACGCCCACAACACCATGCAAAACCAATCATGGCTTGTTGCCAAACTGGGTGCAACCCAAAACTGTTTTGACCAAAACTGAGCCAAGCAATTCGCTCACACAGACAGCTGGAAAAATATTCGCAAAAAATGTAGGAAATTATATGGAAAAATATCTCGCACCTTTCCCTCTTTGACGGCGGCTTTGGCAGTGCGCACGGTGTGGCGGACTTTGGCGGATAAGCACAAATACTTGAAGAAGCGCTGATGCGCGCCCCAGAACTGGCCCCACATGTGCTTGAGCGTGCGCGGATCGGCGTCGAACAGCGCAGCCGCTGCTGCGAACTTCTCCCTGGCGAATGTCCACTACAAACAAAATTCTGGATAATGTTATAAATTCTAAATAAAATAAATTTCATTTAGTTACGCTGACCAGCTCGACGCAGGCGTCATACAGCGCCCGGTAGTTGTCCTCCATGGGCACCTGCTTGATGTCGAAGGACACGCCGCTGAAGCTCAGTGTGTGCAGCGGCGTGGGCGCGATGGAGATGGTGGCGATGGACATGAAGCTGCGCGGGATGTACATTGCGCGCCAACTCAAGTGAAATTCAATTCAGTAAAATCAAATCAACATCAATACATATCACGTAAAGTTCTCTAGAAATCATATCAAATGCAATAAAAATCAAATTAAATTCGATAAAACCAAACCGGATGCCAGTGTCAGAGGAGTACGACTGCGCCTGGTGCGTACGGTCCACACAGGACGTACTTGCACCATTGCTTGCCGATACCACCTCTCTCGCTGTACGTACGTGTGCTGCTGCACTGCACTCATCCGCTGAAGCGGATATACGCAGCGCATACACTGAGCCACACTTGCTCTCTCGTTCCTCTCTCGCGGTATGACTCAGCGTTGATACGCTCGCGTTGGATTGAGTCCAGTCTGCGCATCATCACACAGCTGATGGCACACAGCACGTGTTTGCCGCCAGTTGCTTCTTTCACGCCTTGACGGACGCTCAAGAGCTTTTCTAGCACACACTTGCTTGGCCATCACGGCTATGTTCTTGCTTTCCTGCTATTACGCAGCATTGTTCCCCCTTTATTTGTACAATAAAGCATCACTCGTGATCTCCTCGTGCTTGTCTGTTACATGGTAGCAGCATCTTTTCTGGTTTTCCTTCCTACGGAACCTTTGAGGAGACGGTGAAGGCTTCAATTACGGAGAACTCGTGAGGAACCTTTTCAGTCACTGTCAGACAGATTGCTGAAGCAATCTCTGCATTGACTGTCGATCGGACTGATCGCATCGTCTTACAGCTGAGGAAAACGAGGATCACTGAAGTGATTCTCACCCAGCTGGTGAGCACAGTTTCTCTGTCTCTTCCACATTGAAGAGCACATTCCCAACAGCACGGAATTCTCCCAACTGACGGATCAGACTCGAACGAGAGTCTGCAGCGCGAACGGATTACTCCAATAATACGGGGACCATCGGTTTGAACACCGACCCGCAACTTTAACGGCGGATTTTTACTCGGAAACGACGGATTTCCGACCTCGGACGGAGGAAATCGAGCGGAACCGACACCGACACCGACACCGGTAAAGTAACGGTTCTAGGTCGATCTTAGCCGCAACTAGGTCGGCTTTTCACTTTCTAACGGTAGAAAACGAATTCTATCCGTAAAATTTAACTTTTTAACGGTTAAAAAGTAATTTCCGACGGAGAAACCGACTCGGAATTTTGCTTTTGGTCGAGAACCGACCTGCTAGGTCAACGAACCTGTCTAGACAGTTAGACAAAGGCTAACCGGCAACAGGTCGGAAACTCTCTTGTTTTTGATTTCTAACGGTGTTTCGACCACCAGAAAATTTTCTTAATTAATAAAACTAATTTCTAACGGTTAAAAACTCAAAAATCCGACTAGATAAACTTTCTAGCCGAGCAAAAATAATTTGTTTTTCTCGCGGGAAATAGCGCGAAAATTCTCGAACTTCCTTGTGACGTCATAACGACCGCTTATCAGTACTTAAGAGGCAGCCAATCAGAGTGCAGGGGAAAGTTCCCATAGCCTAACATAGGCGTGATTCATCGTTTTTTTGTAAATTTTGCACGCGGCTCGCATTCTGTGACGTAGGCAGAAGTGCAAGACCACTTAACCTGTTACGTCACACTGGTCAGCACAGTAGTATAGGACGTACTACACCGTACTACTATAACGTACTGTACCGTACCATAGTACTGCATATTAACCCTGTGTACTGAGTCACCAACAGACACAACAACAACAACAACAACATCTCACCGGACGTTCCTGACCCTCGGAAGTTCCTGAACCAAAAGACGTTCCCGATTTCATCGAACATCCTCACACAGAGGATTGTTCGATTTTCTCTTCTTTAACTAATAAAACCTTTGAGGCTCCACCAGAGCCGACCCGATTCGACAACAATGTCGAATCCTCGAGAAAACGAATACGCGAGAAAGTTCAACACCGACTATTCTCGGCGTGCGAACATGACCGGAAAGTACTCACTCCGGTACGCCGGTCAGGACAAAAGTCAGCCGTCCTCAACCGACTCGACTAAGTCGGCCGAAGCGAAGGAGAGACGCAACGAACGGATTCTCCTCGCTGACTCGAATCCAACCTCGGATGACAGTTTTGAGGACGCCAGGGATAAAACATTCCTGGAAGCCCCAGCTGACGTAGCAGCCCCGTCCCACCCGACCGGGGAGGATGTGGAACAGCTGCAGGCAGAGACCACATTGTCTCATGCCGACCAACAGTCGAGCTCACACGGAGCTCCAGACTCGGTAACGGCTACAAAAGCCACCGAGCTTGGACGGCAATCACCCAACAGGACGGAAGAAGTGCCGAAGCCAACCTCGTCCAACACGGACATACCGACTAACCAAGTCGGACGGAAATCGCCGACCACACAGGTCGAGCGAAAATCTCCGACCAAAGAAGTCGGTACACAATCACCGACTAAGGAAGCCGACCAACAAATGGTCGGCCAGCCCTCAGCAAAGGAAGTCGACCAACCGAAGGTCGACCTACCACTAACGAAAGAGGTCGGACAACCGACCTCGAACGGAATGGAGAAACCGACAACAGAAGTCGGCAACGTCCGACCGACCACACAGGTCGGAAGGATTTCGCCAGTCTCGAAGGTCGGTCAACAGACGCCGACCACCGAGATCGGAGAAAAGGAAGTCGGCAATAAGCAACCGACTAGCCTGGAACGGCAACCAGCCGACACAAAGTCGGATGCGACCGTCCAGTCGACTAAATCACCGGCAGGAACGACAGATTCCGAGGTACCGCCACGAAGCGGCCCTCACCCAGCCGGATCGCCGACTAACATGCCGGCACCCAACGAACGGATAATTTCACCGTTGAGCCGACCTTCGCCAACCGGAAGCGACTCGACTCGAGTAACCGAAGCTCAACAAACGGTGAAGTCGACTAAGGCGACACAAAGTCGACCTGTCGACCTGAACCAAAGGTTGTCACCACCAATGTTCGGAACTGGCGAACTTGGTAGCACTCCGTCACCGACAAATGAAGTCTTCGAGGCAACAAACGCGTCAAGACCGAACAGTGCGGACGGATTCTTTACGACACCACCCAAGTCCGATAAGGAGAATCTTGGATACCAGGCCAGTGCACTCGAATACACGGCCAAGAAGTGGATCGCGGCAACACCGCCCGAGAAGATTAACGATCTCGACCTACTCCGAGCGAGATGCCACAAACTGATCACACAGATCGTTTTGGCGGACAAAATCGTCGACTCGGCAGAAGGATCCCTCCGAAACTCGGAGGACACCCATAGGCTCGAACGGAGGAAATGGGAACGAGATATGGCCGATGCTAACAAGGGCATCGCCACCCAACAACGGGAAATCGACCGGCTTAACGCTGTATTGAAGCGAGCCGACTTACCGTGTCGATACGAAGACGACCGAATTGCCACACTTAATGGCATGTTGGACCGGTCAACAGCAGCCGTCTTCGAAATCAAAAAAGAGCTCGACGAGGCGCACAAAGCGCTCGAAGAAGCACAGAAAGACCTGGCCGAAGTTCAGACCACACTGGTCGAGTCGGAACAGGCAGCAGGAGCGTTCCATCAGCAACTCAACCAGGCCAACGAAGAAGCCGAGGTCTATCGAAACGAAGTCGATAGATACGTGGTGGAACTCAAGAGGGCCGATAACGAGATCGACCGTCTAACGCAACGAGTCGACGAGCTCGAGGCGGAAATGGAAATCCTCCTCGTCAGAACGGGACGTCGATTCATCGACGCGAACGCTCGGGACATGGGCTTTCCTAACCAAAGGACAGCCGATGTCGACCTGGTGGAAGCAAACGCTCAGCTAGCCGACCAGGTTTATGGACTGAACCAAGCCCTCAAGGAGGAACAGAAACTCCGAGCTCAACTGGAGTACAGCCTGAACGAAGCTCGAAAAGTAAACGAGGCGCAACACGGCCGCATCGTTTACCTGGAAGCTCGCGAAGTCGAACTATACGACTTCGGCGAACAGGCAGCCCGCAATCTCACGGAGATGATGCGGCAAATGGACGAGATGGACACGGAAACACGGTGTCTGAGGGAAGAGAAGAAGCACCTGGAACAAAGCCAGGTCGAACTTCCCCCATACCGGGAACGAAGTCGGGTTGAACCTCCTTCATACCGGACGTCCATGGCACAGGATCAACAGCCGTCACGAACGATCAGTGACATCCTGTGGGGAATCAACCCAACCCAGCAAATGGCGGAGAAGGAGAACAACACCTCCTACTTCGTCGGAGTCGTAACGACCGACCCAAGCGTGGGAACAATCCCACAACCACCAACAGTTCCGGCTGCTCCGGAACCGGAACACAATACGTCGACCGCGGCACCGCGAGTGCCAACGTCGAACGTGGCGACAACGACGTCTGCCGGTGCATATACCAGCACCTCGTACGCGACGCGGACAACAACGTACGCGCCGGTACCTAACGCGAGAGGAGACCAAGCAACAGACGCCGAACGTCTCTTAGTCCCGCCACTGAGACCGGGCATACAAGCATATCGCCCACCAAGGACGAACTCCAATCCGAACTTCCTCCGCCAGAACCCGCCGTTCGACTTTGAACGAGCGAGGGCTCGGTCATTCAACACGACCGACCAGCGGCAGGACGGACAGAACGGAGAGGATAGCCCCGACCAACAAGGTCGGGTGCCCCTACACCGACTAATACAAGGTCGGATACCGGCTCAGGGAACACAGCCCGACCGGTACGGAAGAGTCTACGACCAACCGAGTGGATTCTATCCGCAGGCGCCGAGACAAAATCGAGCGCCCCCTCCACAACAGTATGGAGGACAGCCACAACGGCCTCGTCACGAAGACCAGGCCCAGGCTCGGTATCCGCAACAGGATGGATACGACGGCTACGACGAAGAAGCCTATCAACAGGGGGCATACGAAGACCAACAAGGTCACGTACCATATGCCAACCGTCCACTCGCCCCGGCTGCACAACAAGCTGCGCCGGTGGCACACCTGATTCCTCCGGCACAGGACCCGGCACATATTGCTTTGGTACGAGCGATATCCCACGGACGTCGGCAACCCTTACCGCCGTTCGACGGAGACCACACCAAACTTCATGGGTGGCTTAAACAGATCCGAAGCCTGTATCGTCAAGCCCAACAGTGGTACGAAGACGATCAGACTTTCATGTCCGACTTGGTAGCCCGACTAGAGGGCCAAGCGGAAGAGTGGCATACCCTCGAAGCCGCCGGAGAACCACTCGGCGGATGGCCAGTCAACGTATGGCTGACCAAATTCGAGCAGCGATTTGCGGACAAGAACAAGGAAGTGAACATGATATCCCGAATTAATAAACGGATATTTCGCTTCGGCGAAGAAACGCCGGAACAGTACTACGACGCAATGATGTTCATGAAGTCCCAAGTCCCCACGATTACCGATCAAATAATAATGTACCATCTCAAGGAGAACGTCCACGAACCCAAACTACGGGAAGCCCTGGAAATCAGGATGCCAGCGACACCAATCGAGTTCCGCGACTACTTACGGAGCTTCGTCAATGGCAAGGAAATGTACGAGGTGCGCAGACAACGCGATGGCGATTATGCCAGAGTCCGGGCAGCAACACCTGCACCTGCCCCGGCTCCACCTCCGGCGATACCGCAACAGACCGGATATCAGCCGCACATGATGCCGGGATACCAAACCCCAACGGCACAGTACGGACAACGGAGTCCGGCGCCGACGCCACCGGTGCAACAAGCACCAGTCCAGCAACAGACTTGGGCGGGCGCGGCGGCAGCAAATCTGAACCCCCCGGCACCTGGAATCGGAGCCCCCGTTAACAACTACGGAGGCCCAGGTTACGGCTCGGGCGGTAATCAAAACAACACAGGTTTTGGTTACGGACAGAACCCGAACCAGGGATACTCCGCATACGGCCCACCTCCCACACAGGGATACGGCGGCGGAGGTTTCGGTCGCGGAAAAGGACGTGGCGGCGGAAAACGCGGCCGCGGCAACTTTCCTAACCGCGGCGGAGGCGGCAACCAACAAGGGAACCGACCTCCCCAGGCACAACAAAGTGCTCGGCAATATACGACCTATGTGGATCGGATGGAACAACTGTTCCTCCAATGGTCGCTAGCGGACAGCTTTACTTGCAACTTCTGCAAGTTCAGCAATCACGACCAAGCACGATGTGCGTTCATCGGTACTCGGGTACAGGACAACCCGAATCGCCGTTGGTTCGAGGATTGGCATACGCGATACCAGACGGGAGGACCACTGGGATCGGCCAACCCGAACTACGCACTG